GGTTCATGTCTTCATCAGTTTATGTCTTCCCATTATTGTCAATATTCATTATATTTAGTCATCATTCCTTACAGCACAGTAATATTCCATTACATTTATATTACCACAACTTGTTTAGCCATTCTCTAGTGCATGACTATCTATTTTAATTCCTTGTTGGCTATAAATATTCTTTTTGTGTATGGGTGCATTGCTTTTTATCACCGTCCTCCTTGAGGTACATGCCTAGCAGTACCTAGCATTTTAATCACTTTCTTCTGCATGTTTCTGAATTCTAACAGATAATTTCTTAGATCCTAATTGTTGCCTGTTTTAGAATAAAACACTAGACATCAGGACAGAGTACAGATTCAGAACTTCAGTGAACAAGAGAGACTATATTTCAATCAAACCAATCAATAAACATTTGTGTGCCATACACTGTGCTAAGCAAGCTCCAGGGATCCAAATGCAAAAAAGAAAGACAATCCCTTACCTTAAGGAGCTTACAGTATAATGAGAAAACACATAAAAGGAACTCCCCAAAATATGGGATAAGGTACCCAATCTAGGGGGCATGGTGGAAAAGTCAGTTTGTTGTTGTTGTTCAGTTGTCTCTGGCTCTTTGTGACCCCATTTGGGATTTTCTTGGCAAAGATACTGGAGTGGTTTGCTGTTTTCTCATCTAGCTCATTTGACAGATGAGGTCGTGATTTGCCCAGGGTCATATGGCTAGTAAGTGTCTGAGGCCAGATTTGAGCTCGGGAAGATGAGTCTTCATGACTTTAGGCCTGGCGCTCTGTCTACTGCACTACCTAGCTGCCCCTGGAAAAGTCATGGAAGTCCCAAAGTAGTGCAGCTGAGTGAGAAATGAGATGTCTGTGCTGAGCCTTCTCCTTAAATGGAGATTGGGAGTTCATGGCTCCACTCTCCTGTCAGAGAGGCAGAGGGTAGTGGTGAAGTAGAGTACCCAGGCTGATGGAGTTATTCTAATCATGGGCTTCCTAGGGCATGATGGAAAAGTCAGTATTGCTACCAGGCCCTTCAGCGGCCTTGAATTAAAAACCCATCGGTTACACCAAGGACTTCTTCAAGGATTCTACCTCCTCGACTTGCTTGCCTTTTAGGCACCTCTGACAAACTATAATCCTGGTGCTGTGCTAGGTGCTGAGGATGAAAATAGGAAAAATTTGCCTTCAAGAAGCAATAGACTATAAGGGGTTAGAGATTAGTTTACAGGTATAACTACAATAGAGCTTAGACTGTACCAGGTACAGGGGAGAGGTTACAGAGGTGAGAGAGATTTTGAGCAGGAAAGGATCACTTCTAGCCAGGGTGGAACGAGGAAAGCTTACCTGAGGAAGTGTAGCCCCTAAGCTGAACTTTGAAAAGAGCTAGTTTTCAGTAGGAGGAGACTGGAGGGAATCCTTTGGCAGGAAGGGGGATAACATGTACAAATGAATAGACAAGATCAGGAAATGCACATTTCAATTAATACTAAATTTCATTAGCTTTTTTGGGCTGTGTTGTATAGTGAGTAGAGTGAGTACTAGCTTTGGAATCAGATGAGTCATTTTGATTCCAGCAAGTAGTCAGAGCTTGACTAGAACACAGAGACGCAATGCAACAGAAAGTGGTGCCATCGAAGTCTGTAAAGAGATGTTGCAGCCGGATGGTGGGGGCCCTTGAAAGTCAGGTTAAGAAATTGTATTTGATTCATAAACACGGAAGAATTTTTGAAAAAGGAAGGGAGGGGCACAGAACATTATCAGAACTTTTAGAAAGATTACTTTGGCAATAGTGTAACAGATTTTGGGGGATGAATGTATGGGTAAGGAGACCAGTTAAAAGGGTATTGTTGTAGTCTAGAAGAGAAGTAGAGAAAAAGATCAGACTCAGGTATTTGGAGTGGAAAATAGGGCATGAATGAGAGATTTTTAAAAAGTAGAATAAAAAGGCTATGACTATTGATTAGATGGAGGGGATGGGGAGTATGGTGAATGTGAGAGGACATTCAGAGTTGATTGCAGTTTCTAGTTTCGGTTACTGGGAGATGGTTATGCCATGGTTTTGGTTGAGATGAAGAGTTCACTTTGGGATGTGTTGAATTTGAAATGATAGTATAGTATTCAGGTGGAGGTACCCAGTAAGTAGCTGTAAGGTCAGCACAAAAGCTATACAGATTCAGAGGTGGGAGACTCAGTTTTGGATTGGGGAATCAAGGGCATCTTCATGGAGAAATTGACATTTGAACTGTACCTTGAATGATGTCAAGTATTCCAGTCAACAGAGCTATGGAGAGTAGGAAGAGGACATTTTAGAGGGAAGCAAACATCTGAATAACAGTGCAAAAAAAGGAAAACATAAAGGGGAAAAAAAAGATTTGCTCAGTGAATGGCAGGTGTTGACTGAGTTGGAAGAGACTCTACAGTCACATGGTCCATTCTGTATGTGAAACTTGAACAAAATCCTTAAGAAACAGCCATCCGGTGTTGAGGAACTCACGACGGCAACACATTCATTTCATTTTTTAATTCCAGTGGTTAGGAAGTTATTAATTTGATCCTGGAGGCTCCCTATTGATATTGAGTCAAGATCTATATCGTCATAATTTCCATGTATTAGTCCTGGTTCTATCCTTTGAGGTCAAAGTGTGTCTAAACCTTCATTCATGCAGAAAACCTTCAGATATTTGAAGACTGGGATCGCATTTTCCCCTTAGGCTTAACACTAATTATTTCTACTGATTTTCATGTGACTTGGTTTTAAAGCCATTCACCTTCTTGGTCACCTTCCTCTGAATACATTTCAATTTGTCTTTTTTAAAAAATGGGGCCCAGAACTGAATACAGTAGTCCAAGTGTGATCTGGCCAGTGCAGAGTGCAGTGAATAAGTACTTCTTTTTTATGAACACTATATTCCTATTAATACCAAATGTAATTAGCTCTTTTGGCAGTGGTGGAGTGGAAGAAGTATGGGCTTTGGAGTCTACAGTTAGTTTTCAGTTCCATCTCCACTCCATAATAACCATGTCTCCTTGACCAAGTTGATTTACTACCCTGAGCCTCAGTTTCTTTGTTGGTAAAATGGGGGAAAAAACATCAATATTCCATACCTCCCAGGGTTATTATATATGAAGTGCTTCATAGCTCATAAAGCACCATATAAATCATAGGTATTCTTATTGCTCTTGTTTATTGCTTTAAAAAGTATTTGCTTCATCAGAGTAAAAATGTCTCTTGGACATATATTAAGACCATAAAGAAGATTCTCTGACAGTGATCGAGGTGATAATGTACTGAATATTAACATGGAAAGAGTTATGTCATCAACAAGTATTTATATTAAGTGCCTACAGTGTACCAGGTGAGTACCTGGAGCACTGGAGATAAAAAGAAAGGCAAACCCACTCTCTCTTCCCTCAAGGAGTTCATGGTCTAATAGAGGAAACAACTTAGAAGCAAAGACTTACAAAGAAATAGGAAGGAGGGAGAAAGTAGGCAAGTGGATGTTACTCAGGGTATTGAGAGGGTCACAGGTGATGTCCCATAGTGGGACATTTCCCAAAGACGAAATTTCCCAAATATTCCTGTTCATAAATGATATGGTACTAATTGCACTGAGCCCTGGAACACAACAAAACCTGGAATTGAAACGCTTTTACCAGTGGAAATGTACCCCCAGGACCATGGGACCTTTCTATCCACCTTACAGCTGAAAACTTCCACAGGTGTCTCCCCCATTAAAATGTGAGCTCCTTGAGAAGTGGGACTGTCTTTTCTGCTCCTATATCTCTAGCACTTAGAACCTTTCTTTGTATGTAGTAAATGCTTCATTCTCAGTAAAATCCATAATCATTTGAAAGAGGTTAGTTTAACCAGCCACTCTTGAAATGTTAATACATAGTGCCCACATTGTACTATGCATAAGGACAGAAAGCTCATGGAGACAGGCCATTGTGTTCTCTTTATTTAGAGAGGAGGGGCAGAGGTGGGCATGGGGAAGGCAGTAAGGTCTGGTATAATGGATAGAGTCAGAGAAACCTAGATTCAAACCCCATTTATTAGCTGTGTGACTGTGGACAGGTCACTTAAGCTCTCTGAAGCTAAGACAACTTTTTAAGATTTATCTATTAAGTTATAGATGGGTGCTGAGCTCCATCAGTGGAGGGAGCCCTGAACCAGTGAAATCACAGCTTCTTGACAGATGTGCATGTCTGTGTGTGTGTGTGTGTGTGTGTGTGTGTGTGTGTGTGTGTGTGAGAGAGAGAGAGAGATGACAAAAGAAAATGGAGGAACACATGGTGGGTGAGGAAAGCAAGAGTGTATTGCCTATAATGATTTGTATTTGAGAAGTGGTATAAAAGACATCATTAAGTGTGTGTGTATATGCACGACTTGTTTAAAAAAAAAGAGGGATGAGCTAGTTATGTGGTGACAACAAGAAAGACAGAGTTCTACAGTGGTACCCTTGATATTTTTTGGAAAAAATGTTATCATGAAATAGAAAATTATCAATGTTCATGAGCATTTCCATGTACAACAAGACCAGATAATGGGGATTATGCATGAAACCACAAATGTGTTACATGTAGTTTGTTCTTTACAATGTATATTAAATTTAATGTGATATTACCAATGTTGCCTTACTTATCTTTGTCCCTCTATGAAACCTACTTCTGGTCTCTTTTTATTTTTTTAGTGTCACTGTTCTTCTTCCCTCCCTACCCCTCCAGCTCTACTCTCTCTCTCTCTCTCTCTCTCTCTCTCTCTCTCTCTCTCTCTCTCTCTCTCTCTCTCACACACACCACACACACACACACACACACACACACACACACACACAGAGACACACACACCAAAATAGCTCCCTTCTAGCAAAAGTGTAGTCAAACAAAACAAATTTGTGTTGTAATGGTTATGTCTGGAAATGTATAGCTAATTCTGCACTATTGTCTCTTCTGCAAGTGTTGGAAAGGCTACTTCATCCTCGGTTGCCTGAAGGTGTGATTAGTCATTACCTCATTCAGAAGTCTTTGGAGGCAATTTTTACTCACAATATTGTGGTCAGTATTTAAATTGTCCTCCTGGTATCAGTTCCTACAGGTCTTCCTAGATTTCTCTGAATCTGTGCATTTCACCATTTCTTATAAACTCTCGTGTTTTCCACGAGGATATTTTGAAACATTTTGTGAAATTCCTTCCTGGAACTCAAGCACCCTGTGTCTATAGCACTTTGCTGATTCAGTCGTGTCTGACTCTTTATGACCTCATTGGGAGTTTTCTCAGCAAAGATACTGGAGTGGTGTGCCATTTCTCCCAAAGCACTACTCAAGCATTTATGTTTTTTTCTCCCTCCCACCATTTTCCCATTCATTGGAGGGGGAAAAAAATAGAAACACCGAATTCCTGTATCATATAAGCAAAGTCAAGCAAAACAAATTCCTACGTTGGTCATGTCTAAAAATATTTTTCTTATGCTACCTATTAGTCCATCATCTCTTTGTCATTAGGTATGGGTAGTTTTCTTCTTTATCAGTTCTCTGGAAATGTAGTTGATCATTTAGTTCACTGGAGTTCTTTTTTTTTTTTTTTTGGGCGAGGCAGTTGGGGTTAAGTAACTTGCCCAGGGTCATAAGCTAGTAAGTGTTAAGTGTCAGGTCAAAGGTCAAATTTGAACTCAGGTCCTCTTGACTCCAAGGCCAGTGCCCTATCCCACTGCACCACCTAGCTTCCCTTAGAGTTCTTAAGTCTTTCAGAAATTCTCATTTTTAGAATATTGATTGATATTAAAGTATAAATTATTCTAATGATTTTGCTCATTTTACTCTGTATCAGTCTTTCCACATCTCTTTGAAATCATCTCTTTCCTCCTTTCTTACAGCGCAATAATATTCCATTACATTCACTTCTTTTAGTTTGGCCAGCCATCCCCCTGCAGCTCCCAGGTTTTTTGCCTGGGAACAGCTGTAAATATTTTTGTGCTTAATAGGACTTTCTCCTCTTATGTTGATCTCTTGTGAACGGGCCTAGCAGTGGTATAGCTGGGTCAAAGGGCGTGTACGATTAGTAACTTTTTGTGCACGACTCCAAATTGCTTTCCATTCACAGCTCCCACTGCCATCGCTGGCATCAGTGTGCCTGCTTTTCTCCAATCCCTGCAACATCAACTTTTCTTACTCCTCATCTCCAAATAAAATATGAAACCCTCCTGGGAATCAGGCATCCATTTGCTAATCTCCTTTGATTCATGCTGGTCATATAGTAGGAAGATTTTTTTAATCAGGAGTGAGGAAACTGAGGTTTTCATCTGCCATTAACTAGAAGTATGACTTTGTTCAGTCATTTCTCTTCTATAGGTATCGTTTTCCTCATCTTTAAAATGAAGGGGTGAGTCTCCAAGGCCTCTTTCAGCTCTAAAATTCTAAGCAATCTAATACATTTAAACACAAACCTTACAGACATCTCCCACCATCTCCTTCCACAAGTAGGACCAGTGGTTGGCAGCCATGCCAATGAATTTGAATCTTATGGTAGCAGCTGAGTATAATTTCCTCTTTTCAGCAGGCAGTTGCATTGTTCAGATTGTTTTTCTCAGAAGTTTTTAACACTTTATCTGCTTAAAAAATAAGTACTAGCAACTAGTCATTGTGTGCTGATCTCTCACATCATTTGTTTTGGAATATATCTGAATTTTTACCGTTTAGCAATGTAATTTAAAATATACTGCCTCTTTCATTGACTAAAAGGAATATGGAACAACATCATGGCATGGAAAGGGCTGGGCTGGGGGGATGGAAGAAGGGGAGGAGACAGGGAAGAATGGAGAAAAAAACTGCTTGGCACAGTTTCTATGGAAATTGGGTAGACAGACTGAGACAGACAGACAGCTAGATAATGCTTATTTACACACATCTTTTCTCTCTGATAGAATGTAAATTCCAAGAAAGCACCGACTGTTTTGTTTTTGTATTTGCAGGGCCTGGCACGTGATAGGCAATTAATACATGTTTATTGATTGATTAATATAGTTCACAAGGACCAAAGTAGAGTAGTAGCAATAAGAATAGAAAGGAAGAGACAGAGGTGGAGTAAGAATCTAGGGTACTTGGCACTCCCAAATGGATGTTTTGAAGGGGTAGGATTTTACCCATTTGTTAAAGCAGCATTTATCTAACTGTATTCCGTAGAACTCTGAGATTCCATGATGAAGTCCAGGGGTTTCCAATAAGAAAAAACATTGTAAGGTTGGGTGAATACAGTGTGCAAATCCATCTACTACTATGCTATCTCTGTTAGTGGTACACAGTGTCTTTATTCAACTGGTGTGGGGTAGGAGATTGACTGGTCAGGCTAAATTTCTAGAAGTAGGTTTCTTGTTCTTCTAAAAATTAATCAATGAATGCATCCAGCAATTTTATGGTAGTGTTAATCAGTTGATCATTAGTCAAAATAATTAGTATCTATATTGTCCTGGTGGGGTTATATACTCTGTGTGTGTGTGTGTGTGTGTGTGTGTGTGTGTGGTTGTTGTTGTTGTAATTTTTTGTACCAACACCCAAAATGGATAATTAAGTAAAATCTGGAAATGCAAAGAGAAAAGCAATCAAAAACATTAAAACTAAGACACTGAAAGAAACATGCAGGAGTCTAGTTCAGATACCTAATATATAGGAAATACAAATAAAATGATTGAGTTTCCTTCCAGTAGCCCTCATGTAGCCAGTGTATTATATTACCAAGTTTAAAACATGTATATTTCCATGGTTCTGGCAAAATTATAAAGGCCTCTAGGAATGAAAAGGTGAATTTATGGAGTAGTTTCTCAAATTTTAAAAGAGAAACTATAATCAAGTGAAACAATACCCTCCTCTACTAGCTTATGTAAGTAAAGAAGAAAATAAAAATTCTTTTCAAAGCAGTTATGAGCTGTGCAAAATATAGGACCTGTCATATTCAATGTAGTTTTCAGTCTCAATAACAAGCAACACCATATTTGGTAATACGGTTAGATTGGGAATAAAATTGACCTCAACAATCAACTTAAGAGATTTTTTTAAATAGCCTTGTTAATTGCAATTTCATTAATAGATTTTTTTTAAAAAAAAGACTCATTTGAAAAGACTTCCCTGAAAAACAAAGTAAAGTTTGAGAAGCTCTGCCTTCCATAATTTCCAGGGGGCCGCTAGGTGGCGCAGTGGATAGAGCACTGGCCCTGAAGTCAGGAGGATCTGAGTTCAAATGTGACCTCAGACCAAACACTTGATGCTTACTAGCTGTGTGACCTGGGCAAGTCACTTAACCCCAATTGCCTTTAAAAAAAAAAAAAGAAGAAGTGAAGCACAACTGAAAAAACGACTGAACAACCAAAAAAGTCATAACTATAAAAGGTAAAAAAATAAATGGGAAAAAAAAAGAATTTCCAGGAAAAATTTCTTACCTTCAGATTGCAATACCAAGCAAATGGCAGTAGCATATGAACCCAGATGCCTTATTTCATCTTTACCCCTTGCCTTTCTTTCCTCTTGGGACAGATGTGGCTGTATTAATAAACCTGCAGCCAATCACTTGCACATATGCTGGAAGTCATAATAACTATTGATATTGATGGTGATGTTATTTCTTTTACAGTCTATGTGTGGTATTTGTTGTGTTGCTTTGGGGGATGGAAAACAGGTAAAGTTTTTTTTTGAGTCAATAAATAATATGTTTAGATCTATAAAATTTGACAGTTCTCTAATGATTAGCCTGACCATCTTGCCACTAGTGTGTTCTCACTACAGGAGTTCTCATCATTTGTTTGATTATTCAGAACAGTATTTGAGAGAATTACTATCCAAATGGTTGGATTTGTGTCCGTATTTTTCCTATGGGGTAGCTCCTCTAGAATGCTAGTTGGATTTATGGAATCATAATTCTTTCCTGAGGTGATAGCCATGATCAGGTTTTATGCATCTAGTCAAAGTTATCCTGGAAGGGATTTAAACTGTATAAATAATGAGGCCCCAGGAATCGCTGATTTGTGTCATGCCTACATTTTGCCCAACATTCTCTGAGAAAAATGTCCTTCATCTCTGTATAAAGTGTTATTTCTTTATCTAGAAAGGTTAATTGCTGTCTGTTATTACTCTCAACTAATTAATTGGTGTTTTGTAATAAGTGCTTCTCTGTACTGGGGCCTATGAATCAAATTGGTTAGAAATTTCACTGGGAATTTCTTTTGCAGTTTGGAATTAGGCATCAGGCCTTTTAGAATTCATACCCCAAGTATCCCTTCACTTAACTAACCAAAAAACATCAGAGTTGTTGGGCTACAAATATCAGGGGTACTATATATGCCCTTCCATTTAGTACATGGAGAGAATGGATTCTATTGTGAAGTAGCCAGCTGAAGGTGTTTCTATTGTCACCAGCAGGACGACCAATCAGTGATGAATTCTTTGGTCATGCTACCTCATCAATCAGAGAAAAACTGGAAAAGTATCTCCTAGTCCTAAGTAATCTCCTTCTACCCCATAGTGAAATGGTACAAAGGGAGGCAGAGGCTATTAAGAATGACATCATTTTTTAGGTCATCTATAACATTAACCATCTGTGCTCTGAGTATAACATCTTTGACCCATAGAAAGAATTGAACCATATCAATGTTGATAAGCTCATGACAGATGAAGGCAGAAGTACATAAAGAAGTTGCAAGTGAATGGAAGGATGACTCACAGATATGAGAGACAAACAGGAAGATTCAATGGGATGACTTCTGTCCTTCCTGCTTCCAAAGGTAGTAAGAAGGGGCAGCTAGGTGGCGCAGAGGATAGAGCACCGGCCCTGAAGTCAGGAGGACCTGAGTTCAAATGTGGCCTCAGACCAAACGCTTGACACTTACTTGCTGTGTGACCCTGGGCGAGTCACTTAACCCCAATTGCTTAAAAAAGCAAAAATAAAAACCACTGCAAACCCTGATTGCCATTCATACACAGCACAGGCAGCAGTGGCCCCTTAAAAAGACAAAGTCAGAAAGAATGATTGGACCAAACTAAATATATTTAGAAGAAATCCTTTCTGGAAGCAGCTGTAATTTTAAAAGCCATGAGATTATTTTAGAAACTATCTCAGGAAGGAGAAGATGTCAAAAGATTGGAAACAAACAATAATTGGCATTTCACTGACTGTTCCCTGAGTCATAATGGCATCTACCTCCCAGGGTTGTTGTGAGGATAAAGTAAGATGATATTTATAAAAAGTTTTGCAAAGCTTAAAGTGCTGTGTATGAATGCCAGTTATTATTATTATTATTATACCTTTCTTCCAACAATGCAAATTGAAACCCAGGTGTGGCACCACTGTGGTGCAGGCCCTCATTACCTCATGCTTGGAGTATTGCAGTGGCCTCTGGTTGGTCTGCCTGTCTCAAGTCTCTGCGCACCCTAATCCGTTCCTTATTCAGCCCCTCAAGTGATTGTCCTAAAGCACAGGTACAGACTTGTCACTCCCACTCCATTCCCACCACCATTCAATAAACTCCAGTGGCTTCCTGTTGCCTCTAGTATCAAATACAAAATCTGTCTGAGATCAGATTTGAACTCAGGTATTCCTGAATCCAGAGCCAGTGCTCTATCCGCTGCACCATCTAGCTGCCCTTAAAAGGCCTTCTTTGGAAGGAATTTTTTTTTTAACTTTTGTACTCATGTATGGAATGAAGGTCACCCACTTCTATTAGTCTTCTATTACTTCAAAATCTAATGGGCAGAATGTTGCATGAGTCCACTTTTAAACTTACATGGTGTACTCACTACTACAGATTGCCATGCTCATTGACACAAGGTAGTCTCAAGTAAAGGTTTCAAGGGTGGGACATTCTCTAGGGCTATGATAACATTGCTTTCTAGCATTAGTTAGAGCCTACCACCTCAAAATCTACTTTCCCTAAAAGGTTTTGTTTTGAAGCCCTTGTTTAACAGATGCTAAATTATGTAGCAGTTGCCTACTGTATGGTAGCCCTACAGGCCAACCTGCCTGAATGGGCCCTGCCAAAGTCAGTAATATGACTGGTGCCTATTCACAACTACAAGTTCTTGGGGGTCAGGCACAATAAACAGACTCCTAACCAAATGAGCTGACTTTTCTCTGATTTTTTTAAATCATCCAAGAAAAATTCTCAAAGTTTCAAATGTCCCCTAATAAGTTTCATTGTTCTGTTTATTCTGCATAACTCAAGGCAACTCATTGGTTTTAGTGTGCAATACTTACACTATAAATTCTCTTTCGAAGTTTCTCTACATTTTAGTAACGATGATTATCTGAATTTAGGCAGAGCCCAAGTGGAGTCAGGAAGACCTGAGCTCAAATTAGGCCTCAGACACTTAATAGCTATATGACTCTGGGGAAGTCACTTAATGCTATTTGCCTCAGTGTCCTCATCTGTAAAATGAGCTGGAGAAGGAAATGGCAAACCACTCTAGTGTCTGCCAAGAAAACCGCAAATGGGGTCGTGGAGAGTTGGTGAGACTCTATGGTATATATATCATAAACACAGGAATCCATAAACCTCTTTTCTCTTGCAACTAATATATCTGAAATTAAATTCTAACTTTGATCTTTTACATACACATCTCATCAACTTAGCCAGTGAGTCACCTATGGAGTTTAAATCCACTATGTAGGTCTTCAACCAGGGAGAGAGAAAGCTAATATATTTAAGAATTCTGATTTATTTTTTAGTATCAAAAAAATACATTTGCCCTCCAACCAGTGAATCACAGGATTCAAGGTACTGTTAAGTAAGGAAAGTAGTGTTCTGATAAACTCTTGTAGTTTTGTTATTCATTATTCATCAACATGGAAGCTTGGTACTTGGCCCAGGTTTTCTTAATTGTCACATTCCTAATTGTAGATGAATCAAATGTCCTTTGGATAGTGATATTTTTGTAACCTCTAAGTCAGGAATTCTTAATCTAAGATCCCTAAACTTATTTTTAATGGTAAGTAGTTAGTTAACAAACCTTTATTAAGCACTTACAATATACCAGACATTTGGCTAACCACTGGGGATGCAAAGAAAGGCAGAAGACAGTCCCTGCCCTGATGGGACAGACAGAATGCAAATAACTGTGTGTTTAGTTATGCAGCCATATACAGGATGGATAGGAAATAATCAACAGAGGGAAGGCACTATAGTTAAGAGGGATTGGCAAAGGCTTCCTACAGAAGGTAGAATTTTAGCCAGGACTTGAAGGAAGCCAGAAAGCAGAGGTGAAAGGGCAGAACATTCCAGGCATGGGGCTATGGGGAGGATAACCACTGCAAATGTTTGGAAAGAGGCTAGTGTCTCTGTGTCAAAGAATACTTGGAGAGGTGTAAAGTGTGAGAAGACTGTAAAGATAGGGGAAACAGGTTACAAAGAGCTTTGAATGCCAACTGCGATTTTATACTTGATCCTAGAGGTGATAGGGAACCTGAATGAAGGATGGATTGGAGTGAGGAGAGGCAGGCAGACCCACCATTTGTAAGAGTCCAGGCATAAGGTGCACCAGGGTGGTGGCAGTCATCATGAGCAGAGAAGGGGCAAATGGGAGAGATGTTCCAAAGATAAAATCAACAGGCTATGGCAACAGATTGGATAGATTAGGGGTTGGGAGATAGTGAGAAGTTGAGGATGACACCTAGTTTTAGTGCTTGTAGCACTAGAGGGAAGATGATGCCCTTAACAATATGCTAATATACTAATATATTTTAATATCAAGTATAATATTTGGTGTTATATTTAGTGTAATTTAAAATATTATGCATTATAATTACATAATAACTAATACAATACAACACAATTATATAACAATTATATATAATCAAACATAATATAATGAGTATTATTTAATACTATATTTGTATTTTATATCATTTAAATGCTTAATTATTGCAATTAACCCTTGCTCAAAAGGAATACCTTTACCCTGGCAAGCACAATTGTAAAGCACTAAGATGTCAATGTGAAGTGTTAATTCTTTGCAGTGCAACTCAAATCTGGTTTTCTTAGCTTAAACTCTTTGTTCCTTAAGATAAACTTATTTAATTTTGTTGTTTTGCAGGAATTTATTTTATCAGAAGATTACAACAAGATGACTCCTGTGAAAAACTACCAAGGTAGGAAACAGGGCTGCTATGTCCTTTCAACTAGATTTCCAAAGAAAACACCGATTGGTGCTTTTAATGGATAGCTTTGTCATTAATGTCTAAAGGACTGACATTCAGCTACAGCTAAGGGTGCTATTTCTTTTTTGAATTAGATTCTTTTTTGGAGAAAGTAGATGGAAGGGTTTTTTTTCCTCCTCTCACTCTCTTTGTGGACATTTTAAATAGCTGAAATATTTCACTGACCTCAGTCCACCCCCAAATTTCATAAGTGAGGTCTTAAGGTCCAGAGAATGTGCCAAGAAGATAAAATAATATAGAAGCTGCTACTCTTGGGGAAAAGTCATTGCCCATAAGAGTCCTAAAATTTGGTAAAACTCCAGCATGTGATGAGGTTTCTGAGTTGGCAGAGAAAAAAGATGGTTAGGTGTTGACCTGGCCTTTGCTCAAAGTATGGATTATTAAGGAATACCAGAGAATTTCAAACCTTACCATAATCTTTAGCAAAGGCAAGAAAGCTAATTATAGCTCTTGACATTTCCCTGTCCTTTAGTATTGGCAGGATCCCATTTGAAGTCCTTCTGGAAAGGCTACCATATAATGTAATTAACTAAGTACTCCCATCATAGTGGGGTTTTAGGTTTCCGTGTGAAAGAATACACAGAATATTTTCAGCATGGAAAACTTAGTGGTGATAAAAATAATAATATCAAGACTTTTGCCTTGTAGTCATCTATTGAGGCAGTGTAGTCGAGTAGAAAAAGCCATAAATTTGGAGCCCTAAACTTGGGGACCTGAGTTAGAATCCCGATCTTCCATTTATTCCTTTCTGACCTTAGACAAATCACCTACTTAACCTCTGGGGGCCTCAATTTTCTAATTCTAATCTAACAATAAAAATGAAGGGGTTGGATTAGATCATCGTTTAGGTCCCATCCAGCTCTTGATCTATAATCTCATTAAAATATCTGCTACCATCAGAAAGCCTAAGATCTGACCACAAACAACAGAATGTGGTTGTTTAGAGAAGTCGATGGAATTTTGTTCTGGTCAGAATTGATAGTGTTCCATCTAGCTGAATTTCTACTGGCGATGGAACAAAGAAATTTTATAAGGGGTTCATTCCATTTTATGTAGCCATGTTCATCTGGAGGGAAAAACTACTGCCAGTTGCCCCTAATATCTTGCTACTCTTTGTCCTTCAAGGAGTCCTAGGTCCTTTCATTATCGCCTCTGAGAGACGTATAGCAGCTGATGGCCGCCTCATCCACCTCGGCATTTCTTTTCCTCATGTAACACCTTTTTTGTCATGACTAGGGGATCGAGAAATAAGGCCAGAGGAAAGTTGGCAGTTGATCACACTTTACCACTGCCCTACCTTCTGTCACTAATGACCACAGAACCCTTGAGCAAAGGGCTTACTCTAATTTGAACCAGGATAGTGATTAAACAAGAATGCTAAGTTAGAATGGAGTGCTAATGAGCCTGAGTTTAGAGGTTCAACTTCATTCATGCCAATTCATTTCTGATTCTGGTCCAGGGATAGCATCCTAATCTAATTGTTATCATCGGTCAGAGACATTCAGAATGTAGATATAGATAGCTAAATCTTGGGGGGGGTATATATGTATGCATACCTATCTGTCTATCTTGCTAGATGTGATATCACTGTGGGAAGAGCTGCTGTTCTTATATCTGTCTGTCTGTCACACAAGGACAACATCATTAGCCATGGTATCTCAGTCACCCAGGTTCTGCTGCTGCAACCCTCTTTTCACAACTTTAAGACTAGGATGATCATTTTCTAAAGTTGGTAGCATGTTCCAATCTCCTTTGATCAAGTGATAAACTGTTTACCTTGAAAGAAAATCATCTTGAACACTGTACACAGCAACAGCAGCATTGTTCAATGATCAACTGTGATAGACTTGGCTCTTTTCAGCAATACAGTGATTCAAGACAATTCTGAAAGACTCATGGTGGAAAATGCTGTCCACATCGAGAGCGAGCTATGGAGTCTGAGTGTAGATCGAAGCGCACTATTTTCCCTTTTTTTGTTTTTTCTCGGGTGGTGTTTGACTCTGATGCCCTGATGATTTGTCAGTTTTGGCTGGGTGGGGGCAGAGGGAATGGTTCATTCCTATTGAAATGTTTAACTCTCTTTTTCTTGGGCTTCTGCTTAGAATGACAGGTAGGTCTGTTGTCTTTTATTTTTCAGCTCACCAGAGCAGGGTAACGATGGTCCTATTTGTTCTGGAGATGGAGTGGGTGCTGAGCACGGGGCAGGACAAACACTTCACCTGGCACTGCTCAGAGAGCGGGCAGCGCCTAGGAGGTTACCGCACCAACTCTGGACCCTCCGGCCTGCAGTATCCTTGATTGTGTCTCTGGCTTTTGTCTTATGTTTTTTCCTTCCGTCGTGGGTATGGGGGTGGATAGGGACCAAAGTGAAACAATAGTTTGTGCTATGCCACAGCCTGAGATACATTGCACATGAGAGATGAAATGGAGACTGAGCCATCCCTACACTATAGCCTAGTCATACTCTGTCAAGTCCAGAGTCTAACTGTGTGAAAGCAAAGTCAAGAGATCTGCTCCTGGTGTATAGAAAAAGGAAATGCAAAGAACTCCAGAATACAGACGTTAGGTTTTTTCTCTTACAATGGCAATTATCAGCAGATGGAAACCAAGGCTTCTGAACAACATCCCATCTGGTTAGTAGGCGATAAGACAGCTCAGAGTGGGTTACCAGTCAGACATATGGTGATGTCCCAAGTTTCATCTCCAGCTGTGGGACTGGACCACACCATGCCCTCTTCAGCTGCCTAAGAGTGACGTTAACAGTCCCCAACCTTCATTAGATCTAACAATCTACCGGACCCCCCAGAAAGGTTTATGGGTTGCTGGATGTGCAGCACTTAGCACAGTGCCTGGCACAGACTAGGCACTCAGTAAATGCTAGCGGATTGATTGTTGACCTGGTCAGCCTTTCTGTAGCAAATATAACCTTTGCATGATCGGGCAAAGAGAGTAATAAGTTGATCAGAGAATCATGGGTTTAGAAAGGACTTTGAGGTCCTAATTTTAAAAAGCATGCCTTCAGTAGGTCTACATTTGAGTTTATTTGACCAAACAATAAGCCTTTGCCCCGGTTCCCCATCTCTACACCCTTTCAACTCACCCTTCATAGTACTCCCTGACTAACACATAGGTCTGGGCATTTCACCCTGCTCAGAAACTTTCAGGGATTCCCTGTCAAATAAAACTTCTTAGCCTTGCTTTGAAGGTCCTCCAGTCTAATTACTATCTCCCTGCCTATTGTTATCTCCTGAATATTCTGTGTTCCCACCCAAACGGAGTATGTCTCCCCGGGACATGCATCATACTTTTCCGCCACTGGGTTTTTCCTTGTTCATATTGTTTCCTGTAAGTGGATGATGAACTGTTTACCTTGAAAGAAACTCATCTTCATCCAGCCCCCAGCTCAGTGCCTGGCACATAGTAGGTGCTTCAGTGTTGATTAACATAAGACTTTTATTCTGACCATAAAAACGCTCAGTGATTTATCTCCCTTCTTCCACCCTTTGAATTCCCACTTATCCTTTAAAGTTCAGCTCAAGGGACAATTCTTTCATCAGTCTTTCTCTGATTATCTCCTCAGACCTCATTCTGCACTTTGTTTCTTTGTTTGCCCTTCTGATAGACTTGTTATATGCAATTGTGTATTGTTATCTGTGTATTTGTCTGATTTCCCCACTAGGCATAGGAAAGCTAGGATAATGTCATACCTAGACTTTGTGTCTCCCTTGTTGCCTAGCACAGCGCTTTGTAACATAAAAGGCATTTACTGAATTCAGTTCAGTTTTAACAAGTAGTTAATGTGTACAGAGCACCATGCTGGGCGGTGGGAGAGACCCAAAGTTCAAGCCAGAGATGGGCCCTGTTGTCATGGAGCTTCGGCTTCATTCATACACAGTAACTATACTGCAGTATTCTATGTAGGTGCAAGTACCATAGGGGTGAGCAGGAAAAAAGATAATTTGCAAAGTCAGAAAGGAAAACACTAGTGGATACCTCCAGCTTTCAGATTCTCCCCTCCATATATGGGACTGAGACTTGGAAAATGTATGAAGTCATATGTTCCGTGTTCCCCAGCAGTCAGATCATCTGCTTGGCTGTCCCTGCAGAGGGGTGTCAGGAGCCCGAGCCCTTCCCTCTTCTCTCCATGAGCCAACTCGCTTTAGAAGCTGGCAATTTCACTCTCATTTTCTACTCCTCACCGCAGCCATGCTTTTGGAGAGATTTACCAAAAAGGGGTGGGGGCCTGAAAGAAATTGCATCAAATTAGCATGAAATCAGATGGCAGCTTCATAATTATCTTCATAAAATTTTAAAATGTACTCTGCACTTAAGCTCTGATCATTGTACTTATTCAGGCTGTCAGTATTCAATGCTATCTGATATATTATTACTGTGACATTGAGCTGATAAGGTTTTGCAGGCTTGTACCTTTCATCCCCCGGCCCAGCATAACAAAATTCACTTTCAAGGCTGCAGAGCCAAGGGAAACAAACTTCCTAACCAGTGGTCCTCGTTCACAGAGAGAGCTTTGTTAATAACTTGTAAAGCCGAAGTGAAAAACTATCCCAGTGCAAAGGGAGAAGAAGAAACGAAAGATTGATCAGAAATGGGGTGGGTGGGCCTGAATCGCCAGACATGTCATAGGTCGGCCTACCACTTTGAGCAGCTAGTTTCTGTGCACTGCATTTTGTGTGCATTGTGGCTAATAGCTTTCCCATTTTCTCCCATTTAAGGACAAAGAAGGCTAGAAGCAAGGGAGATAACCAGCCTGTTTTGGGGGAGACAGACCTTCTGTTAAAAGGCACCACCAAACATGGCCTCTGACAGAAGTCAGTCAGTTCAGGAGCGTGGGCTGAAGCCCAAGATTTCTTCAAGCAACTGCCCTTGACACCTGTGTTTGAGGAAGTAGCAGCTGGGCTCACTTTTCAGTTCAGTTTAATAAGAACCTATCAAGTGCCTAGTGTAGGCAGAAGGCTATGCTAGGCACTGGGTGGAATTTGAAATTTAAATAAAACTTCATTGCTGCCTTTGTGGAGCTCACAGGCAGTTAAGGGGAGAAAATCTGTACAAATAAGTGGAGTTGAGACAGCTAGGTCTAGCAGTGGCAAGAGTGTGGAAATTGGAGTCAGGAAGACCAGAGTTCAAAACCAGCCTCAGACACTAGCTGTGTGACTTGGGTACCTGTTTGTCTCAGTTTCCTCATCTGTAAAATGGTAATAACAGTAGTATGTTATGAGGACAAAAATGAGATATTTGTAAAGCACTTAGCTCAGTACCTGGCACATAGCAGGCACTATGTAAGTTCTCATTCTCCCCACCTCAGTTCCAAAGAATATGATGGTGCCTCCTATTTTCCCATCATCAATGAGACATTATATGTATGTTTTGCCTCTCCCCTCTGCAATTAATATTCCTAAAACACAGGACTATGTCCCTTCCCAACTCAAAAATCTTGAAAGGATTCCTCTTCCTTTTAGAATAAGAGATAAGATCTTGTCATTTAAAGCCTCTCCCATCTGGTCATCACTGACCTTTCTAGGCTTGTGAAGCCTTTCCTGGCCTCTCCACACTCCCTCTAGCCCAGCTGTTGGTTCTCTCTCCTTCCTCAGATTAGCTTATAGTTACTTATCTGTTTACATATTCTGTCTCCCAAATAAAATGGAAACTGCTTGAGGATGGGAGTGTTTGGTTTTTGCCTTTCTGTCTCCCCAGTGTCCGGTACATAATTAATGTATGGGTTCATTTAAGCTGAGTGGTGTGTGTGTCAAGCCCAGAAAGAAGATAGACCTCTGTGCAAAAGGATATGAAGAAAGGATGGCAGTTCACCTTTTTCTAATTGTCAATGTTTGGTCGCAGCATCTTTCTCCAGAGGGGACAGCACCCTCTTATTCCATCATTTGTCACAACCACAGCCATAGCTACAACGTTGATTCAACATAATTTACAATCGTGCCCCTCTTCTTTGCATGTGCAAAGGACCCTTGGGTTTCAGCTTCCTTGTTAGTTAACTGATGGCTGAGCTAAATCCAGCCAACATAGTGGCGGTGATGCTAGCGGAAATGACCATGAACTATGCAAACACTCCTGAAAAGAGTGCCTGACCTCAGCTAACTCCCCCTTGCTGGCTCAGAATTTGGAACCCCAGTGGCAGCCCAGCAACTGGAAACATATATTTAGCCAGCACTAAAACACTGGCCGCTTGACAGTTTGTGCTTTAGCCAGAGAAATCTCCACCAGTAACCAGCTGACTTTCCTTATTCCAGAATGTTTTTTTCTAGATAATGACTAGATATCTTGGACACATTGCAAATAGGCAGCCCAGATAGTGTTTGGAAGGAGATTTCAAAACAGATCCCTTGAAAAAACACACACAATCAATCTCCATCTTCCCAATTCTATGTTTTGTTTAATATTTTGTTTTGTCTTTTGATTTATTTATTCATTCATCCATTCATGCATTCATTCACTCATTTTTTGTTTGATTATATTTGGTTGGAAGAAAGAGAGGAGAATAAGGCTAGATAAGTCACTAAATTTTCTGAATGGCCTGGTTAAGAGGTTTATTTTCCTTAGCAATGGAAAAGTAGACTTGTCTAGATAGGTGAAATCCACAGATTATCAACAAACTTCATTTTAGCCCATGTTTTTAACTTTTCTTGTTGCTAGCAGTCTTGTGAAAGTTTAAAAAGAACCAATTGATTTCTATTTCACTTTCTTTCCACTTCTTTCTCCATCTTCTCGTAAGAGGGACATAGTACATATAGTACATATAGTACTAAATACAGTACATACAGTAGGAGCTTAACAAATGCTTATTGATGGATAAGTAGTAAAATTGAGCCTTGAATAGTTGGATCTCTTTGACTAAGGATGCTATATGTAAGTTGTTCTTCATCATTATACAGTTTGACATAACAGGATGAAGGACTTACCCAAGGGTATGGCACAAGTGGGTGTTCAGTTTAATAAGCACTTATTAAGTGCTTTCTATGTACCAGGTACTATGCTTCGTTGGTGCTACGAATGTTATCGTTAATTCACTTCAGGTGTATCCAATTCTTCATGACCCCTTTTGGGGTTTTCTTGGCAAAGATACTGGCGTGGTTTGCCATTTCTTCCTCTAGCCCATTTTACAGATGAGGAAACTGATAAAAACAGGGTGAAGTGATTTGCCCATGTCACACAGCTTATAAGTGTTTGAGGTTGATTTTGAACTCAGGAGGAGGAGTCTTCCTGACTTCATGCCTGGCACTTTATCCTTTGCACCACCCAGCTATCTTTGACACTCTGGAACAAAGACAGGAAGGAAAGAGTCCCTGCCCTGTATTTTTTTTTTATTTTGAGTTCCATATTCTCTATCCTTTCCTCCCTTCTCCCCTTCTTGAGAAGGCAATCAATTTGATATAGGTTTTGCATGTGCAATCATGCAATACATATTTTCATATTAGTCATATTGTGAGAGAAAATACACCCCCCCAAAAAAAAAGAAACAAGAAAAATGGTGGTTTTTTTTAAGTATGCTTCAACATGCATTCATATTCCATCAATTCTTTCCCTAGGGGTGGGTAGTATTTTTCATCATAAGTTTTGTAGAATTGTCTTGGATCATTGTATTGCTGAGAATAGCTAAGTTGATCATCATATTGCTGTTAATGTATACAATATTCTCCTGGTCCTGCTCACTTTGCTTTGTATCAGTTCATACAAGACTTTCTAGGTTTTTCTGAAATCCTCCTGCTTGTCATTTTTTATAGCACAATAGTATTCCCTCACAATGATATACTGCAATTTGTTCAGCCATTCTCTAATTGATGGCATCCCCTTAGTTTCTAGTTCTTTGCCACCACAAAAAGAGCTGCTATAAACATTTTTGTACATATAGGTCCTTTTCTTTTCCTTTTTTTTAAAATCTATTTAGGATACAGATGTAGTAGTGGTATTGCTGGATCAAAGGGTATGCCTGGTTTTATAACCCTCTGGGCAGAGTTCCAATTTGCTCTGCAGAGTGGTTGAATCAGTTCACAACTCCACCAGCAGTGCATTAGTGTCTCACTTTTCCCACATCCCCTCCAGCATTTTCCTTTTCTGTCATATTAGCCAATCTGATACATTTGGGGTGGTACCTCAGAGTTGTTTTAATTTGCATTTTTCTAAACAATAATGATTTAGAGCATTTTTTCATGTGACTGTAAATAGCTCTGATTATTTCATCTGGAAACTGCCTATTCATATCCTTTGATTATCAGTTGGGGAATGACTTATGTGCTTTTACATTTGACTCGTATATGTGAAAAATGATATCTTTATCAGAGAAACTTGCTGTAAATTTTTTTAACAGTTCTTTGTATTTATCCTACTCTCTCTCCTTTTGCCCTGTCCGTCCTCAAAAGTGTTTTGCTTCTGACTACCACCTCCCCTGGTCCACTCTTCCTTCAATCAGCTCCCTCCCTTCTATCCACCCTCCCTACTTCTCTTACTTATCTCCTTCCCTTCCTACATATGGCAAGATAGATTTCTATACCCAGCCATGTGTGTCTATGTATACTCCTTCTAACTGGCCATAATAATGAGAAATTTCTTAGGATTTACATGAATCAAATGTAAGCAGTCTAACCTTTTTGAATGCCTTATGATTTCTCTTTCCTGTTTACCTTTTCATGCTTTTAGAGTTTTGTATTTGAAAGTCAGATTTTCATTCTATTTCATTGAATGTCAACTTTTTTCCCTGAAAGATTGTACTCAGTTTTTGTGAGTAGGGGATTCTTGGTTGTAATCCTAACTCCTTTGGCCATGACTGCAAGGAAATTCTCCTCTGCCTGATAATATCTCTTCTGTTCCCCATCCCATACCCCATTGCAAATAAAGGACATTAATAGTCCCTCTTTAGCTTTCTCCTCTGGTGCAGCAATCCCAGTTTCTGTAATCTTTCCTCATTTTAAAAAAATTATTTTCTGGCATTACTCTCATTTCTTTTTCCAATTTTTCATTTACTGCTTTTAGGTTATTTTTAAAATCCTTTTTGAGCTCTTCCAAGAATTCTTTTTGGGCCTGTGACTAATTCACATTTTCCTTTGAGGCTTGGATGTAACCATTTTGACTTTGTTGTCTTCTCCCGAGTTTGTATTTTGCTCTCCTTGTCACCATAGTAACTTTCTATGGTTGGGTTCTTTTTTTGTTGTTAGCTCATTTTTCAGCCTATTTCTTGACTTTTTATGTTAAAGTTGGGCTCTGCTCCCAGGACACTGTCCCAGGACTCAGATTTTTTGTGCAGTTGTTTTCAGAGCTAAGTCTGGGGGTCTACAAGTTTTCAGTTCTTCTAAGGTACTATGATCTAAGGAGAGTTGCGTTTACTGTTCTCTTGGCCTGTGTTCTGGTCTGTGAGGTACTACAAGCACTCTTTTTCACCCTCGACCTGTGACCATGGTCCGTGTTCCCCAGAGGCCACAAGCTCTGATGAGCTAGTGCTCCTCCTAGCCCTGGGACTTTCACCCAGGACTGCAACCCAGATCCACGTTTGGGAAGTGCAGTAGAGGCCTGCACCTAGTTCCAGCAAAAGGATCCCTATGATCTCCCCCGTTGTCTGATCCCCTTATGATCTTTGGACTGAAAGCTTGCGTAGCATTCAGTTGCCCCCAAAGCCTGCTGTTGGCTCGTGTGGTGCAAGAGCCTGAGGCCTCTCTGGGTGGACTGTGCTCCACTGTCACTCGTGTGTGGCAGACCTCTCCTGCCAACTTTCTAGTTTGTCTTGGGCTGTTTCACTCAGTTCCTTACTGGGTTCTGATGCTCAGAATTCATTTTGAGGCATTTAGAAAAAGTTGTTTGGAGGAATTTGGGAGAGCTCAGGTGAGTCTCTGCCTTTCCTCTACTCTCTTGGCTCTACCCCCTCCAGTCCCTGTTTAAAGGACTTTATGTCCTATTACAGTAAGCAAGATGATCTCAGATAAGGAAACAAGTACAAAGCCCAACACTGAGCTCTGTGTTTGCCTCTCTGTTATGTTTGTTCTCACTATGTACTTTCTTTTTTCTGCTTCTCTTTACCTTTGAAAATCATTAATACACAGTTGTCAATTCATTTAGCCAGATTTCCAGGTTACCCAAACCATTCTGCTGTGCAGAGGAACTGATGTCTCTGCCTTATTATGATCAAGTTATAATTCAAGTATTTGTCTGACTTCCTAACAAATGATTCCGGAAAGATCTCAGCCTGTAATTAGACGATGTTGGACAAATTTCCAGTACATCAACCCACCAAACAGGGTGTAAAATGTCTCCCCAACTGTATCTGACCTCTCCGGCCCATTTATATGTAGGGGAAAGGTCCTAAGGGCATTTACTGGGATTATGTGGATTTCTGCATATCCAGATTATAGCTGATCCCAATCAATCTAGATATATGAGGTTGTATTAATTTTACTTTCTTTCAAAGAAATTTGGTGAATTTTATTATCAACCTTCCCATCAGAAAGATTACTAGGAATCATATTGAGTCTATTCTTCATTTATGTTCTTGTCACAGTTAATCAAGATAAACTATAAGGTGGTGTTTACCGATTTAAATGTTGTTCTACTTCCAGCTGATGACTGGTTAGAAGTGTGTTAGAAGCACTTTGGTGCTCTCTTTGTCATGATTTTTTTTCTTTCTTTCTTTCTTTTTTTTTTGGCAATTGGGGTTAAGTGACTTGCCCAGGGTCACACAGCTAGTAAGTGTCAAGTGTTTGATCTGAGGCCAGATTTGAACTCAGGTCCCCTGACTTCAAGGCCGGTGCTCTATCCACTGCGTCACCTAGCTACCCCGTCTTTGTCACAATTTTTAAGAATTAGAAGAATTTGTCTTCTTTCCTTCCTTTTCATCCACTTTTCTCTTCTTGATAAACATCCCTTAACGCTCCATACCAGATTTGATGTTGATACCCGACACGTGTTTGTGGGCGACCATTCAGGACAAGTTACAATCCTAAAACTGGAGCAAGAACACTGCAGCCTTGTCACAACAATCAAAGGACATACAGGTAGGCATGAGAGCAGAGTCAACACAATGTGGCGTCAGGGCACATCCCACCTCAAACCACCTTGAGATTATAGAGCACGAGCCTATGAGGAAAGCAGAGAGGGTGCATATATAGAAGTAGAGAGACCACAGTCTCTGATGGTGTGGATGTGCTGGGTGCTTATGCGTTCTGGTTTCAATAGGATCAATGTCAGCTCCAATAGGATCAATGTCAGCGTCTTTCTGTAGCAGTCACAACATAACAGGCATCAGTCTGTTTGGAAAATGATAGTTATTTGGTTTTTTTCATATGATATTAAGGAAAGCTTATTTTGGCAGACGTTAGTAAGATGTTGTTTGAGACTGTGGCAGTGGCCCAGACCTGTGGAGAGAGGATGGGAGGATATAAACTGTTTACACTGTCTTACCCTCACTCCGCATGTAATGAACATTTAGTTTGGTTGACCTGTGTGATATGTGTAATGTTTCATTATCTTCAACTAAACTACTTTAAAAAAAACTTAGTTTAGCTTTTGCCTTAAGAGTCTTTGGGCTTGAAAGTATGGCCAGTCTCTCTACCCATATCATACTCACCCAATGTGTCCAGCATTTGTTGCCTAGGTATTATAATATATCTGTGCTCAGCCCATGATTGAGCTATTAGAGAAGTGATTATTCCTAGTTTTTATAATTATTTCATAGTTGTTATGTGCATACCAAAAAACGTGATCATTAAGTGTTTTTGTGGTATTTAAGACCCATTTAGCCAGAGCTTTTTCAACTGCATTTTGGAAATGGACTTGCCTGTGTATCTAACTTTGTTGACCTGCTGGATTGATTGGAACGCTACTCATTAATTGCTACAGGACAGGGATAGGCCTCTAGAGAAAGCATATCTGAATGTGGACTTTGAATGAGACTGAGAGGAAGAAAGTGAAAGTAGAATCTAGAACTTATTAGGACCCCAAAAGTCATCTAATCTAGACCTTCCTTTTCCAGATAAGGAAGACTGATGCCTAAGGAGGTTAAATGATATACCCAAGGTCACGGTATCAAAAGCAGGTCATTAAGCGTCAGAAGAAGGATTTGAACCCAGGGTCCCCTGACTCCAAAGCAGGTCCTCTTCCCACACTTCCATGTGAAATGGGGGGAACGATCCGGTTGATTAGGTAGTATTGCTTTAGGCATAGAAAATGTATGCAGGAAAAACGACTGAGAGGATAGACACCTTAACAAGATCACCAGTGCCATCTATATCGATTGGGAGAACCATATTATCACGGTTCTTTTTACATAGTTTTGACGATATTAAGAATAGTCTAAACAGATGAGAATGAGTGATGGTTCTGCAGATTACTTTTACAACAGCATTGTATGGTTAAAAACAAAAGATTTCAATAAAATTTAATTTGTTCTTTTTAAAGCACCATAGTGTGGTGAAAAGAGCCCTGATTTGGCGTGGAGGCTTCCCTCAGCCTTGGTTTCCTCATCTAGGAAGTAAGAGTTAGACTAGATGATCTGAAGGCATCCTCTAGCCCTAATATTTTTCTGTTGTTTGATGACGAAATCCATTCCAGCCCCTAAGAGCCATGACTGCAAGGAAATTCTCCTCTGCCTGATAATATCTCTTCTGTTCCCCATCCCATACCCCATTGCAAATAAAGAACATTAATAGGCCCTCTTTAGCTTTCTCCTCTGGTGGAGCGATCTCAGTTTCTGTAACCTTTCCTCATAAATGCCATAAAGCAAATACAGGAGGAAAATGTTGGATTTCTCTGACTTGGAGCATTTGAAGATGGGTGTTTGGGGTTTATTTTATCTTTTTAGATGTTTGTCACAGTCCTGTGAAAATGTCTTTAGACACCAAGTTGAGTGTAAAGTTTTTAAGAACAAAGAAAAGGGTAGTTAAGACAATAGCCTATTCTTCTGGTTGGGCCAGGGTCAGATTTCAGCTTGCTGCTTTGATTATTTAATCAGTCTGTTACAATATCTGGCCTATAACTAGTACTCTCTGTTCTGTGCTGCTGCCAAGGGGAGCAAACAGGCCTCTACAATGGTTCTGTAAGCCATGCGTGGCTTCTACATTGTATAGATAGTAGGCCCGTACTGCTCTAATTGGATTTATATGTTTTTTTCTCGAGTTGACAGCGTTCTCATCTATTTTTCTAACATCTCAATGAGGTAGGGAGGGAAGGAAGTCTCTAACCAACCTGTAGCAAGTCTTAGGTTCACATTATCATTATTGTTCCTATTGTTATTTCTCATTTCCAACACTAGTTTGGTTCCAGTGAAACTCATGGCTTTGAATCTGGACCACGGGAAGCTAATGGGGCCTACTTTGGACCACAACTCCCCCTGGCAATTCCAAACTGATTCTCATGTCTCTGACGCAAGATGCAAAACTGAGTCAATTCTGGGTTCCCCAATCTCTCTAGGTTAATGTTCCTCTTAGTAGAACAGAAGATCACATTTTGGTCGGGGATCTGCAGGGCCCACTTCCAGTCCCATCAAAGAATGAACCACATCCATGGAAGGGTCAGGATCATCCCTGAAGATGACCAGTACCCCATTGGTTCAGGTTTTAACTCAAAAAGGGTTCAGTGCTGAACTAAACCAGCTTTGAATAGATAGAATGAATGAAGTAGCCATTTGAATTACTACATTAGTCCTAGTTGTAGCTTAGGGTACTAAGCTACATGATCCTTGGCTAGGTCCTTTTATAAAGAACAAAACTTGAATTAGTGGGGAAGTGGCCTAAGTATCTCTTAAATCTTTATACCCAAAGGCCAAAGCATAGCATTTCAACTCCTTAGAGACATGGAACTAACTGGTTTTGTGTTCTTATGCTCCCTCTGCTGGTTCCATTTTTTTTGTAGGTACAGTAACATTTTTTAGGGCTATGCAGACTTCTTTGAGATGTTTGCATGGACCAAAGAATCTTCTGTCAGAGCACTTTGACCTAAAAGGATAAGGAGTAGAAAAAGTCAGACCTTGACAAGCCTCGCTAATTAATCTTTTTTAGCTTCTAAGATTATCATGTTTAGAATACACAAATTGGACTTACAGGTGAAAAAAGGTCTCTCTACAATACCATTAAGGCAACCTAATTTAATATGCATTAAAAGTATTAGGTGTAACTTGTTATAAGACCTATTGAAATACTACTATATAAAACAAAAACTCACAAGACTAGAAAAGACAGCTTATACCAAATAAATATTTCCATTCCAGGGAGGCTTTTCAGTGAAGCAAAGTTAAATGGGTATATTTAGTTTTGTGAAAACAGGCCAGCTGTTTCCAGTGACTCAGTTTATACAAAGTACACCTTTAGTTAGAAGACCAGATTTTCTCCAGGAGCATCCAGGGGTGGCCTCAAGCTTTATAGTGCATTTACACTCTTAACATTGAGTGGAAAATAGATCCTGCGGGATCAGATGCTGTACTGGAAGTAACTTCAGTTCTCTGCTCATTTGCTACACTTTTAGTTTATTCTCTTCTAAAATATACTGACTTTCCCAAGTAAGACACAATAAATTTTTAGGACATGCACAGTTCCAATATACTAAAGACAGTGTGGCATAGTAGATATAGAATGCCAATCTTAGACACGGAAGACCTGGGTTCAGATCCTATCTCAGAAATTTACTGGCTCTGTAAACATGGGCAGATCACAGGATCCTGCTGTGGAAAGTGTGATAGTCAGAGAAGAAGGATAAAGAGATTTCTATGCAGTAGTAGGGGCCTATTTGAGTTTTGATGCCATAAATTTATAGTGAACTCAGCCATCACATTGTGAGACTTTCTCCAGGATTGTTCAGCAGCATGTGAGTAAGAATAGAGGTGCAGGTAACCCAGGACAGGTGCTTGGCAAGGTGTGAATATAAACAGCCATGCTTTTTGTGAAAAAGTACTTTAAGTACTACGTAATGAGAATAATTAAGTGTTCTGTTCCAGTTATTTCCATCCCTGGTTTTGCTATATTCATGTGATGTTAAGCAGGATTGCAAAATTTTCAAAAATTAATGAAAATATACCATAGAGAACAGGGGGAAGGGAAAGAGTCAAAGGTGAGAGATGTTGTTAAAGAAAATTTAAAAGAGGGGATGTCATAATTCTAAAAAGATTCTAAATCAGTAGTGTAATCATTGAGAGGAATGGTATATTACTTTTTCCAAAGTTATTACCACATGATCTTGAAAATTATAGTACCAAAAAGAAAAAAAAACCTTCCTATTGTGCATGGTTTATAATAAAGCAATTTATTTGTTGAGAGGAAATCCCACTTGTAGAAATAAAATTTTGTATTTGAGATTGTAGAAGATGAGCAGATATTACAGTTTATTGTTTTTATGATAAAGTGTGACAAAAATATTATTGACAGTTGGGGGGGGTGTAGGCAGATCTGAGCAGGGAGATGAGATGCATAATGATTTTCCTTAATGTGGTCTTTCAGGAAAGATTTTAAATAAAATTTGAAATTGAAGAGAAATTTATATTCAGAAGATAGTTTCAGAGAGCAGGAGACTTGGAGAAAAGACTGGTGATAACTTGTATTAAATCATGTCAGGGAAATAGGATACTGCTGAAGAAAGTGAGGAAGAGATAAAGGCAGCAGAACAGGCTTAATAAATTAACTGGGTAAATTGGAGAAAATGATGCAGAAACAATGAAAAGCAGAGAATGATGATATATTCAAAAGCTATTAATTATAATCAAGTCACTTGGAATATATGTATATGTACATGGATAGATTTTGTTCCTCTCTTTAAAAAATTCTCCTGAGAAAGCATTATAGAAGAGAAACTTTTTAAAAAATCTGCTAGTCATTGAAAAACCATGAAAGTGGAAATCATCAGTTACAGACAAGGAAGAAGCAGAGAGAGAGAGAGAGAGAGAGAGAGAGAGAGAGAGAGATACATGTGTACACACACATACGTATTACTTTTGTTCCCATCTCTTTAAAAAAAAGCTTCTGAAATAAACACAAAGCACCTTTTGATCTCTCTAGCAGTTGCCATAGCATATAGTAGCTCATGAAGTAAGGTAAGAAGTCTTTTGGGTAGTGTGTTACAGCAGCTATCAGGAATACTCCTTTGTATAATAGCTGACACTTCCATCGTGCCCAGGCAGCTAGGTGGCACAGTGAATAGAGTGTCAGACCTGAAGTCAGGAAGACTCATCTTCCTGAGTTCAACTGTGGCCTCAGACACTTACTAGCTGTGTGGCCCTGGGCAAGTCACTTAACAATGTTTGCCTCAGATCCTCAGCTGTAAAATGAGCTGGAGAAGGAAGTGGCAAATCATTCTACTCTTTTTGCAAAGAAAACGCCAAAAGGGGTCATAAAGAGTTGGACATGACTGAAAAATGACCAAACATCAAATATAGCTCCTGCTTTGTGCCAGGCACTATGCTAAGCACTTTACAATTATTATCTAATTTGATCTTCACAACAAGCCTGAGAGGTAGGTGCTATTATTATCCTTATACAGATGAAGAAATTGAGGCAGAGATTAAGTTACTTGCCCAGGGTCACGCAGCTAGTAAGTGCCTGAGGCTGGATTTGAATTCGTTCAGATCTTCCTGACTCCAGGCCCAGTACTCTATCCGTTGCACCACCTAGTTGTCCTAGTATGTTCCTAGGCTCCTCAGAGTCTTGTATTTATTTGTCTTGTATTATAAAAGCTACTAGTATTCACACTGTACATGCAGCCTTAGTACCTTTCTTGGTGAGACGATAAAAGAATAGGTCTGGTTTTCAGAGACTCTTTTTCATTACTCTGTAGTCAATCCTACCAGGTACACACAGAGCCTGGAAGGTTTCCTCTTCTAGGGCTCCCATTAGCTATCGTCTTTGAAACCTCATTTTCCCACTGTATGTGTGTATGTAAGCGTGTCTTTCCTCTTGTAGGAGGGGTGACAGCCTTATGCTGGGACCCAGTCCATCGAGTGCTATTCTCTGGCAGTTCTGATCACTCTGTCATCATGTGGGACATTGGTGGAAGAAAAGGAACTGCTATTGAGCTCCAAGGACACAAGTAAGTCAGGGACAGCCTGCTACCCTGGGCTGCAGCTGCATTGTTCTTTTACAGAAGAAACGGAAGATGAACCTTTCAGTTGGAAGCTACAGTAAAGGGTCTTCCCCAGTCACTGATTAGGCCTTCGTGTGTGAAACCCTCTATGTTAAAGGAGCTTAGCTGGAGCTCAAGAAATGTGCTTCTTGCTTTAATGGGTCTTAAGTCCAGGCTTGTAGGTCAAGTCTCCAACCTTTAGTTAAGTAAGTGCTTACTATGTTCCAGTCATAAGGATACAAAGAAAGGCAAGACAGTCCCTGCCCTCAGGGAGCTTCCATTCTAATGGCAAAGCCAACATGCTCACCACCAGGTACAAATAGGACATCTATTTGCAGATATTCAGGCTAATCTGGAGGTGGTCTTAGAGTGAAGGCATTAGCATGATGGGGGATCGGGAAAGGCTTCCTGCAGGAGGTGGGCTGGGTAGAAGCGTAGCCTATTTATTTGGCTAAAGAGGCTGTTGGAAGAAATAGAATAGGTTTAGCAACAGCCAAAAGAAATCATCTGGGAAGCAGGGCCAAAGAACAGCTGTCAGGAGGAGGGGATGTGAGTAACCACTCTTGAAAGAAAAAGTGGCTACTTTGTTGATGCATAATGAAACTTCATTTGTTAAGGCGTTTTTTTTTTAAATTTTTTTCCCAAGTACTTCTAAAATATACATTATTTCATTTGATCTTCACATACCTGGGAGGGAAGTATTTATTGCCCATTTTTCAAAGAGAATATGGAGGTCCAAAGACCAAGGTCCAAAGCAACCAAATCTGTAGGGTTCCTAAGAACCAGACCTAGAACCCAACTCTTCTGAGACTTTGTTCAGTGCTCTGTCCACTATACCTTCCGTACCACACGCTCTGGCTTGCTTAGTACTATACCTTCCATAGGTCTTGTCATGGAATTGTAGGATGATAGCTCAAAGACCAGGCCCTCACCCACATTTCACACATGAGGAAACAGCCCCAGAGAAGTTAAGGGACTCCCCCAATGTCATACAAGTTGTAATCATCCTAGGCAGGATTCAGATTCCTCTGACTCCAGAGCCTTTGCTCTTTCTAGTATTACATATTGCCTCCTAAATAAAACATAATTTGCCTTACTATTTGTAGAACTTGCTGAGTGTCAAAAAGTTGAATTAGAACATTCCCTAATAAGTTATGAGGGATACAGTATCACAGTGTGAATGACACTGGTTTTAATGCTTTCTGATTAGGCTATTAAATTGGCTATTATGTATTTTAGTTAGAATAAAACAGTTTTTGGAAGCCTAATTTCAAAGGAATGGTGATGACTAGTGGTAAGACTACTTGCTTAATTTTGATTTTTCACTTTAATTTTAAGAATTATTAAAGTTTATACATTGTCATCTTACCAAAAACTATCAAGTAGCTGTTCCTAAGAACATAAATAACAACCCTTTTTATTTTTCTTGTTTTAATTCAAGGAAAATTTTCAGAAATCAAAAATTGATTTAGCTGTCCCAGTTGCTATATAGAAATGTCATCTTAATATAAAGTTGATTTAGGCAGTAGTGAAGACATAATTTGACTCGTGTTAAAATACTTTTAGATTTGAGTAAAACCATACACAAAAATATACTTCTCTATAACATCATTTGCGATCACAGTATATTCATGCTTTCATTTCCTTTGCTGCAAATGGGGAAACATACTGATTGCACTGTGGGAGGAGAAGCAAAGAAAGGATCCCTCTATTTCTGGCTATTTTCATCTAATGTATTAGTTATTTTGTCAGAGCATCGGATATGTGTTGTAGAAATACTTCACTAGACATTTACAAAATCAGCAACTCTAATATATGTATCAATTTCCATTCTTACAAAATACTCAGTCTCTTAATCAGTTTCACGCTAACAATCTCTAATACTTTATAGGATTCTTCCTAATATGTTAGTTTCTTTAATTATATTAAATGGTACCTTGATTTAAAACAAAATCAAATAATTGTAGATTAGCCATATCTATAACTAGCAAGTTCCGTATTTGAAGATGATGGGAAAATAGTCATCTCATCCACTCACAAGAGTAAGGAAAAATACAAGTGACCACAATGCATGGGATTATAAATTTCTCTTTCATTATGAATCTTCTTGAATTATACCACTGGGATTTGGGGAATGTAAGTTATCATAGAGTATATACTTGAGAACTGTCAATGACATAAACTGAATCAAGTCTGGATCTGGATTCAAGGGTTCTAAATGTGACATTTCCATCATCTCTACCTATGCCAAATTGAGGGTATATTTCTGTATGTTTGTGTGTCTTTCTATCTGAAGCAGTTAGGTGTTTTAGCTCCCAGAGACTTGGACCTGGAGTCAGGAAGACCTGATTTGTAATCTAGTCTCATAAATTTACCAGCTCTGTGACCCTGGTCAGTTCACTTAACCTCTGCCTGTTTTCTCAACTGTAAAATGAGGATAATAATAATAACACCTACTTCTCAGGGTTGTTGTGAGTATCAAAGGAGGCAATTTGGGTTAAGTGACTTGCCCAGGGTCACACAGCTAGTAAGTGTCAAGTGTTTGGTCTGAGGCCGCATTTGAACTCAGGTCCTCCTGACTTCAGGGCTGGTGCTCTATCCACTGCGCCACCTAGCTGCCCCATCAAGAGCAGTTCTTAACCTTTTTTGTGTGTTCTGGGTTCCTCTGGTCATCTGGTAAAACCTATAAGACTACTTTTTGGAACTGTTTTTAAATTTATGAAATAAAATACATAGGACTGAAAGGAAACTACAGATTAAGAATCCCTGCTATAGACCAAGGCAAGACTAAACTTGAACCCCAGGCCCCCAAACACGCCCCATAGTCCTGGCGTGTGGGATTGAATCATCCTCTGTGTTTAGCGTACATCAGTAGTGAATGCCAACGACAGGTTGTGTCTCTCAAACATTGGTTATGTACCACTGGTAACAGAAGACAGATAGACGGATGGATAGATGGAACCAACATTTCTTAAGCATCCACTGTGTGCCAGGCACTGTGCTAAGTGCTTTCACAAATACCGCCCAAACTGCCTAATAGGTAAAAGCTTTTGCTCCCCTGGGGGTCTCTGTGAGATAATAGCCATTGTGTTGGGGGTACCTGGGTGGTGCAGTGAATAGAGTGCCCACTGCTGGCCTGGAATCAGGAAGACTCATCTTCCTGAGTTTAAATCTGGCCTTGGATACTTCTTAGCCATGTGATCCTGGGCAAGTCATTTAACCCTGGTTGCCTCAGTTCATCATCTGTGAAATGAGCTCGAGAAGGAAATGGCAAACCATTCTAGCATTTCTGCCAAGAAAACCCCAAATGGGGTCACAAAGAGTCAGACACAACTGAAAAGTGACTGAACAAAGGCCGTTGTGTTGATACTTTCTAGAATGGGAGCCTGCCGTGATATCACCTGGCATGGGAGGGGAGAAGGAAGGAATATTTTAATTTCTTGTAACCTTTCATCTGTAAAACTGGGAAAGTTGACCTGCTTTACTTTGCAGGTTGTTTTATTCCTAAGTGAAGAAGTCCCGATGCAGCTTTATTAATACAGGGTGGTCAGGCAACTGCTGGAGGGCTTGACCCCTGAACTCTGCCTTTGATTATTAGCACTCACTGGCTCATTGTGCAGTCAGATGAATTATGAATTTGTCATATGGTTGCTGCATTTTGCTGCCAGTTAAGAATGTCAAAGCAGTTCCTTCCATGGTTTAATTTGGTTTTATTTTACCTCCTGTATATATGAGGAGCTTTTAACAAGTGAATTGTGGTCCTAGTAACCAAATCATAGGAAGCTTATAGGCAGACCTGCTTTCACACACACACACACACACACACACACACACACACACACACACACACACACGTATCAGGGCATCACAGACCCTGAGGTCATGGATCAGTAATGTTGGAGCCAGGCAAGATAGGTTCCAGCTGGGAATGTCCTCATCCGTCAGTTAGACGGTGCAATGACCAAAAACTCAGTCAATAGCCCCACCCTGACGAGGGCTAAGTTCATTTGCTGCCCGCCAAAAATGGGGTTGTTATTTGAGAGTAGCTTCAGATATCACAAACAAGAGCTGGAGTTGGGGACGAGCAAGTGTGTGCTTACTGGTTAAAATTGGCTGATTTCCTGAAATCTCTGCTTTTTTGACATCCTAGCCATCCTTCTAGGCCCAATTCAATGCCAGCATCCTAATTTCCATTACTAGAAGTGATTCCCGCCTCCCCACCCCCACCCCCATATGATCCTAGAGAATTTTTATACACCTTTTACACGCTTATCTTATTCCAATTTTTATTATACTTACTCATGTGTTACCAACAAGATTGTCGATCAAAGACATTTACCAAGCGCTTACTCTGTGCCAGGCCATCGTGTTAGTAAGTACTGGGGATACAAAAAAAGGTAAAAAACACAATTCCTGATTTCAAGGAACTCACATTCTAGAGGAGACAAAAATGTGAATTAAATGCAGTTTCCAAGGGAAGAGGGTGGTGGGTCACAGACCAGGAAAGGCTGCTTGTAGATGGTGGGATTTGATATGATTTTTTTTTTCATTTTTGGTGAGGCAGTTGGGGTTAAGTGACTTGCCCAGGGTCACACAGCTACTAAGTGTCAAGTGTCTGAGGCTGGATTTGAACTCAGATCCTCCTGACTCCAAGGCCAGAGCTCTATCCACTATGCCACCTAGCTGCCTCTTTGATATGAGTCTTAAAGGAAACCTGGGAAGCTAAGGAGTGAATACTTTAAGGACAACCATGTACTATTTATTTTTGCTCCTCTCTCAAACCTGGCACAATGTGGGATGTGTGTGTGTGTGTGTGTGTGTGTGTGTGTGTGTGTGTGTGTGTGTGTGTAACATAGTAGGTGCTTCAATAAATGGTGCTTGGGGCAGCTAGGTGGTGCAGTGGATAGAGCACTGGCCCTGGAGTCAGGAGGACCTGAGTTTAAATCTGGCCTCAGACATATAACACTCACTAGCTGTGTGACCCTGAGCAAGTCACTAAACCCCAATTGCCCCCACCAAAATAAATAAATAGTGCTTAATAGTAGGTGCTGAATAAATGAAAGTTTGTATTTCAAGGCCTTAGTTTGCCATCCACCCTTGTCTACCACTAATACTCCATTTCTTTCACAGTGACAAAGTCCAGGCTCTCTCCTACGCTCCACATACTCGACAGCTCATCTCATGTGGAGGAGATGGTGGCATTGTGGTCTGGAACATGGATGTCCAGAGGCAAGAGGTAGGCCTCTGGTAGCAACTCCTTTGATAGTAGGGAAATTGAGCCCCATGAGCCAAAGTTATTCTGAGGCAACCCTGCAGTTTTTCATGATTAAACCTGTAAAGTTTAATGTTATGATGGATGTCAGAATTAAGTCAGCAGGTGGAGGGAAATCCCATCATTCATTACCCTTTAGGGATAGAAGAGTCAGGGTGTGGAATTAATTAATGCTACAATGGAGCAAAGAGATTTCAAAAGAACTCTGATTTTCCTGACTAAGAGGTTTCATCACTTAGGGCTTATTCTCCCACTAGCAATAAAAATGTTCGTAGGGAAAACTAAATGTCTAATTTTAAGGTGATTGGTTCTGTGCAGTGTTAAGGCATGCTACCAAAATAGAATGCTCAAGTACTTTCTGTTATTGAGGAAAATTATGGTGTTATTTAGGGAAATGGTTGGTAAAGTGTTTGAGAAATATTGTTTGGGAAAATTAAGATACTTGACTCTGTTGAACAGGAAAAATCACTAAGATGGTTTCCAAATTCACTGATTCTCATACTTCCACTTGAGTGGTTATGTGCTAAACTCATTCCCAAATAGGCATATTTGGGGGATCTGGATAGGTCATTTTTGAATAGAAAGCAACAGTATTCTTCTCAAATAACATTTTTTTTTGAGAGGAAATACCTTTTGGTTTTACAGTTATTTTTCCACCAAGTTTACTGTGATACAAAGTTTATAATTACCATTTTCCCATTTCTCTAGGCTGGTTTTAAGAACAATTAGCCATTACATATATAATCTTGTCTTTGTCATTTGTTTCTTTACTGTATGCACAAAGGACATAGGAGGAGAGCTACACTTAGAAAGACAACAGAGGCAGCCCCATGACTTCATGCCTCCCTGTTCCATTCCCACTTTGTAAGAGTAGCTGTTATTATTGGCAGGGTAATACCTTTTAAGTGTCATTACTTAAATGCTTAAGAAGATTAAAGCTTTATTTGTTCAATCCGTTAATCCATAGGAGTTCTATTAGTAACTAATTAAAGTCAGCATTACTGTTATGCAGTGGGAAATTGTAAAATTTTTATTCTTGAAAAATACCCCTGAGCATGACAGAAGGTGAGAATAGTCCATTTTGGGGGAGTCATAGAAGGACAAGCAGGCACACTAATGCTTTGTTGGCAGAGCTATGAATTGGTACAACTATTCTAGAAAGCTTTTTGGAAATGTGCAAAGTGACTATAGTGTCCATAATGTTTGATCCAGAGATTCCACTGTTAGGCATATACCCTTCAAAGAGATCACTGACAAAAGGAAGGCTTCATATACCCCCAAATAATATAAGCAAAGAAGTGGAAACAAAGATATGCCCAAAGATAAGGGGCAAGGCTAAACAAATCGTGGGACAGTAATGTAATGAAATATTACTGTGCTATAAGAAACAACAAATGTGATGAAAACAGAGAATAGAAAGACTTATATGAACAGATGCAAAGCAGAGCCAGAAGAACAGTATACACAATGACTGATAAAAGTGTTAGAGGAAACTGAATGTTGTGAAACTAAAGAACAAGCTTCACCCCAAAGAACTATCTGAAAATGTCTCTTCCTCCCACTCTTTTGCAGCAATGGGGGCCCACAGGTGTGGAACATTGCCTAAAACAAAGGATTTTTTAGGTGTATTTGATAGGTTATGCTAAATTTTCTCTATTTTTTTTTAACATTTGTTGTTTTAAAAAATCATTCTTTGGAGTGAGGGATAAGTAAAAATATAGTAAAATATCATTAAATATCTGTCTCCCACTTAAAAAAAGGCAAAACATCTCAACACCATTAACAGAAGTGAGGCATAGCATTGCATTATGGACAAGGGACCCCAAGTTCAAATCCTGGCCCTTTCTACTGCCTGTTGGACTTTGGCAATCTGTTTAAACTCCCTGGGCTTCAGTTTCCTCATCTGCAAAATAAGTGGGGGTGAACTCAATAATGTCTAAGGTGCCTTCCAGTTTTAGCCCTGTGAGCCTCTGGTCCTCAGTAAGGGTATTTATAGTGTGTTCCTCTATCCAAGAGAAGCTTTGATCTGTTAACAGCTTTAATTACCTGCTCGGTCATCTTTCACAATGTGACCTACTTTCATTTAGAAATGGCCAAACTTGGCTGTGTAAATGCCTCTGTTTCCTACTTTTCAACACCTGCTTTATTATTTTAAAAAACTGTTACTTCTCTCTCCATTTATATCACAAAATTATAGGTTGTCTTGATAACATAGTAGCCCCAACCTTGGTATAAAGTATTAGGTTTCCAATAGCTAATTCAGTTCTTAGAGCAAGGAACCCTTTTTATATCATGAACCCTTGGGAACTCTGGCAAAACCAATGGACCTTCTTAGAATATGGCTTTTGTTTTTTTAAATTAATAGCTGAAAGAGATGCTAAATTTCAGAGAGAAGGCAGAGAAAATAAAGATGTAATTTTTTCCAGTAATAACAACTAACATTTATGTAGCATTTTATGGCTTACAAAATGCTTTACGATATTACCTCATTTGGTCTTCATAACACCCCTAGGAGGTAGTTGCTATTATTTATCTGCTTCTTATAGAAGAGGAAATGGAGAGACAAGTTGAATTACCCAGGATCACACAGTTAGTAAGTGTCCAAAGCAGGATTTGAACTCAAGTCTTCATGACTGCATGAGTCCAGTGCTCGCCATCCAGGAAACACTATGGAGGGAATTTTCTCAAGTGTCCAGCGGTCTAGATGGGCAATTCAATGAGACGTTTGCTTCTAAAAGGTGATCTTGGCACCATTGTTTTAGACAGCATAGCCCAATGCCATGTACTGAGCAACTAACTTTGACTTGGGTAAACTAGAGGCAGTAATACAGGGAAGCAATATCAGACCTAGTATAAAGATCCGAGAAAGGTTCATACCTCTTTTCCCAAGGCTCTTTTCACAGTCCTCTTCTGGAAGACTTATAACTCTGCATGAATACAGTAGAGCTAGAAAAAGCTTCTCTGACTGTATCTTTTTAAAAATCTCTGATTTCTCCTTCCATCCCCTAAGGAAGGTAGTCCTTGGGCATCCAGGAAATACCATAGCAGAAGGTAATCTTTGCAGCTTCAGGTTGGACTATATGGCCACCAAATTCCCTTCTCTAACAATTCAGTAAATTAATCATTTTCTAAAAGATGTCAGGGACCACCATTGTTTGGAAATCACAGCCCTGTACCTAGAATATTTTCAGTCATGCTTTGCTGCTTTCTAGATACTCTGTATACATCATTTGAAAATACATCTAAATTTCTCATCTTACTCAGGGGAAAAATCTGCTAATGAAATTACTAGAAGTGAAAAAGCATTGTGCTCCCTAACTGTTCACAGACATTTTGAAATCCATCCACAAGACCCCAGGTTAAGAACCTCTGACATAGAGGATGTTAGAAATACTAGGGGAGTCTTAATGGGGGACGTGAGACTTCAATAGAATTTGAAAGGATCCAAAAGTCTCAAATCAAATCTTTTCATGAGCAAAAATTTGAAGGCAAGAATGAACTTGATCTAATCCCTAATAGTAAATATCACATGATTTCTTTGTATATACCAAATGAGGATTTTTTAAAATAGACATTTCTGGATTTGAATCTATTTTTCTTAAAAATTAAAAAAAAGATCACAGCATGGAAAAGTCAGCCTTTGGGGGAAAATATTATTTTAAACTAAAAATCTTATAAATGTTATTTCAACAAATCTGGTCCAGTCTGTCTTTAGTACTGACATTAGACATGTGGACAAGAAACCAAATCAGATCTAGGCCCTTTTCTTTGTTTCCAGATAGACAGACAGGCAGCTGGATCTGGCCTTGGCCTTTATATACCAACGTTTTAAGATCTTTATGATTCTTTTAAATATGGATCTCAATCCCTCTGCTAAATGACAAGCCCTCTTGGGCTAGCTAGACATATCCAGAAAGGGAATAATAGCCAGTTTCCCTAACAACTCCTATGTGCAAATTAAAGTGGAATGACTACAGTTAAAACAAGCAGGCTTTGTAGAAGCATCATAAAGATTTAAGCATAACATCATAGGTTGCTGAGAACAAAACCCCGCCAAATTAACCAGGTTTGAAGCAATTAGAGATGAGATCATTTTTTTTCAAGTTTTGTTGATGCCTTTTGTTTTTTATACTGTAATTATTTCCAGTATATTCCCTTCCCACACAGGACTCTCCCTTGTAACAAAGAAAAACAGTTAAGCAAAAAAACTGCTAACTCGGCTATCCCAAAGGGGAGATCATTTTGAGCAACTGCTCATATATCACTTCTCCAGTCTGGAGTTTCATTTCTTTATCAGTAAAATGGAAAGACTGAAGGGTTGGGCTAGCTTATCTACTAAGACCTCTTCCATAGCTAAATCCTCTGATCCTCCAAGAAACAAAATCTCAAACAGTGACAGATCCTACCTTCTATAGCTAAAGTGGGTTGCAGTGTGCCCATGGAGCTGGTGTGGAAGAGAATTTGCAGGTTGTCTGTTCAGGCATTCTTTTACACCTTGATGATGATATTAGCATGTTTTAATATGAAATACGATGATCTGTATCTAATTAAATGAATGGATCAAAACAATATAAGAAGGCCAGTGAGGTTCTTTTTTTTGGGGGGGCTATTAAAAATTGTTAGTAATAGACTAATAAATTAAGCAAAAAAGTAGTCACAACTTTTAATCAGCAACATTATAAGCACATCTGATTTAGGTTTCCTTGATATAGGTGTTGTCTTTACTTAGCCAGAGGCGGCATGGCACAGTGGATAGAGAGTCAGTCTATGAGGCCAGTTGGACCTGGGTTCAGATCTCCCATGTCTGACCCATTCTGGCTGCATAACATTGGCTCTTCATCCCTCAGTGCTCTAGGCCAGTGGGGTCAGACTCAAATGGAAATGGATCCCAGACATATACTAGCTTAGAAAACCACATATTAACATCTATTTTGTTTTTTTATTTGTACTGTTAAACATTTCCCAGTTTTGCTTTTAATTTTAATTTTAATCTTGTTCAGGGCCTGAGCTCCCTTGAGTTTAATGCCTCTACCCTATGTAGCTCTCTACAGTTTGAAGTTTTTCAAAGAGGACTGCATTGGCACAAGGCATTTTCCTCATCTGGGAGTGCTTGACACCCTTGAAAGCCAGGCCCAGGCCCTGTTTACTTTTTCTGTGATCATTTTGGTTCCCCAACCCCACCTCCTCCCAAAAGAGTGTAAACTGGAGGACAAGGACTATTTGGGTTTTGTCTTGTTTATACTCACGTAGCATTGATGCTTGTGGATCAGTGAATTTTTATCAGTTGCATCCATTTGAAAACTGATTGTCATGGTGGCCTTTTCTATTTGTGTTTTTTGTTGACAAGACTCCTGAATGGTTGGACAGTGATTCCTGTCAGAAGTGTGACCAGCCTTTCTTCTGGAACTTCAAACAAATGTGGGACAGTAAAAAAATTGGCTTGAGACAGGTCAGTTCATTGGGTACTTCTCTCACACACACACACACACACACACACACACACACACACACACACCACACGGAGTAACTTTTATCTTATCAGATTATTTTGGAAAATTTTGAGGGAAAAGGAGTCACCCTGTGACTAAAATTAATTCCTCTCAGTTACACTTTGCCTGTTATATTATAGTTCATTCAGTTTTAGGAAAATATAATCACTTATCTACTTGGTCTCCCTCCCTTTTCACATATAACACTTCAGCTGGTTTAGTTTCTTTCTGCTATGAATTGTACCTGTCCAATGCACATGGCTTAGTCTTCCTTTTATATAAGATCCTGGAGGGCAAAGGTCATTTATGTTCTCCTTAATGCCTTGCATATTGCAAGGACTTAACTTTTTGATGAACTCAAGAGATGTCTACTGAAAAAATCTCCAAATTGAAGAGTATAGAAAGCCATAACTTTTATCCCACACTAAGTGGAGAATTCACGCACAGAACACTCTTTTCCTCTTTCCATGTTCTCTTAATTTCAGTCCTTAAGTTTGCTCATAGCACAGTCTTCTCCATCGTTGCCTTGTTTTTTCCCAGAGGAGACGAATGTTAGATTACTCGTAAAATTGAAGTCGTCTTCATCTCACATTCTTCATCAAACCAATCCTGATCATCCCTAGCAGTGGAACGCCCATAGGAGATGTAGCATTAAGCTGGTTCCTTCTCCTTCAGTAATTCCCAGAATGTTGTAATGGGGAAGTTTTGAGGCAACCAAATGATCCTCATCCATAGGAACTGATATTTACATTTCTGAGTAAACAGATGACAGCAGATAGAATCCAGCTAGACTCCCTTCTCATATTTCTATCCCCATTGGGGGATAGTGGGCCATTTCAAGGATGAGTCATTTTGCTTTGGAGCCTTGCTGTCCATCCGTGATTCTGGCAGGTGGTGGGCAGGGCCCTGGCTCAAGGTGTGGTGGCCACCATGTTGAATGTCTCTGTCTCTTGTTCCTTTGTCCAGCACCACTGTAGGAAGTGTGGGAAGGCTGTCTGTGGCAAATGCAGTTCCAAGCGTTCCTCCATCCCACTGATGGGCTTTGAATTTGAAGTGAGAGTCTGTGACAGCTGTCACGAGTCCATCACGGATGAAGAGTAAGTCTCAATGGCATGATGTATAACTCAAGTAAAAAGAGCCAGATGTGGTAGCTGCAGTTAACTGAAGGCCCAAAGTATTGTCTGTCTGTCTTAATAGCAGCCAGCTTAGAAGATATACCACAGTCTCTGATAAAATACACCCTAGGGATGTTCTCTCACCTTCCTGTAGAACGAAGCAGTTTGTGGTAGGTCCTTGAAGAGCTTCATTCCTTTGCCGTTCTCAGTCCAAGTAATGGAAACTGTGGGGTGTTTGCACTTCTATAATTTAAATGTATTCTCTGAGCGAATCTTTATGGACAGTTTGCCATTACAGAAAGAATGCTGAGATGCCTGCTGTATCGTGTCTTACACCTTGTTGTAATTTGTCCCGAAGAAAGGGGATGTGAATCTTTTTCTTGACCAACATGTGATCTTCACTGGGGCTGTAAGATTGGAAATAGATTTAGTTTTCCAAGAGGATGCTGCTTACTCTCCACCTCCAAAGACAAATACCTATTTGTCTAGCTATTCAGATTACCTGCCCCTGTAATTCTTCCCATTAGCCATGCTATACACACTAGGTTATTACATTCTAGGGACTTTGGGGGACCAGTCCCAACCTTTGAGCTACCCTTTATTTAAGGTTGCCTAATTAAAAAAAATAAAAAGTACACTTATCACTCTGGAAATCATTCTGCCTTTTCATGCATCCCATGGAGTGCTTTGTTTTTTCTTATGCATATTTTAAAAAGAAACAACCTAAATTAACACTTCATTCCCTAGGCCCTCCCTCCCCCTTTTACCTCAGCATCTTGGAGAGTCAAAAACCACTTGATGCAGTAGATGTACTGTAAGTTGAATCATATTTTATGTGTACTCTAGCAGTTCATTATCTAAAAGGAATCTGTAGTGAGTGCTGTACAAACTTGAAGAATCCTTTTGTAATGCAAATAATCAACCCTAATTTGTCTGCTTTCCAAGTTCTGGTTTTCACTTACCAGGTACGTAGTGGAGTATTTCTCTTAATAATCCCATTTTTTAATAGCCAGATTTAACCAGCAATTCTGCTCATTTATTATCTTCCCTTCCATTCACCTTCCCATGATGAAATGAACAAACTGATTTTTGCTTTAGTGGAATTCTGTTTTCTCACGATTGAACGTTAGAGCTAGAAGCCAACCCTTTTATGTCTGAGACCCATTTTACAGGTGAGACATGGAAGTAAAGAAGTAAAGCCACTTGCCCAAGGTCATATGGATTGCTGTTGGCAGAGCCTCGCCTAACCCTCAAGTCTCCTGACTCCTATTCTGCAGCTATTTTCTCTTTGTCTCATTGTCCTCTGGTATTTCTGCTTAACTCAGTATTGAAGTGATTGTTTTATTGTCTCAGAATGTTTAAAATGTGAACAGAAGATTGTCTTCTTTAGTTTGGGTTTCTAAAAGTTATTGCTTTAAAAAAAATTCTTCAACATAAACCTTTACTCAATTATAGAAATTTAGAGCTTGCTATTTTAGGTGATGGTGAAGACATCTTTCCCAAAGTCTCTATCATGCCTTAAACATCTTACAAGTCTCCTCTTGTTTTTTATAATGGTAAGAAGTAAGAGATCAATATTCAGTTTATAATTATGTTTTGTAATGCTTGTTGAGGCTGGCCTTTTTGCCTTTATCCCCAGGGCTTAGCATAGTGCCTGGCACATGGTAGGCACTTAATGAAAGTTTCTTGACTGACTGAATGTGGGGGAACACCTAAGTCTGCCTCTTTAAGACATCAGAGACCTTTGAGGAGATAAGAGGATGGCTCTCCATCTTGGATGTTCAGGGTGGGCCTTGGAACACCTTTGAACTGGGCAAACCCGGAAACAAGAGTTTCGATGAGTGATAGACGTGAGCACAACTGTTAGGCAGCTGAGTGGAGGGCTCTCCAAGCTGGCAGTGAACCTTACGTAGTGTCTGAGGACGCTGCAGCCACTCAATCAGAAGCAAATGTCAGACTTTGTGTGGTTTTGTAAAAAGCCATCGTGTTTGTAGCAGAAGCTTTTCTGCTCCTTTCCATGACATCTTCTCCTGGATATTAATGTTCCATCATATGTGTTTTCCTGTTATGTTTTAACAAAGCTAAATAAGTTCTAGTTGGTTGTGAAATAGTTGGAAGGTTTATATGATAAAAACAAAAAGGGCAATAGTATTAGTACTATGAATAGATACTAGAAATTATAGATAGGTATGACTATTAATACTATTAATAGATACTAGGTATCTAGGACACTTTCCTTAGCCAGGCCTGAATAGGCTGAATCACTGGACTGGTGCTTCAGTCACCAGCCTCTGCCACACCCTTGGTCCCAGTGACCACAGGTGGGGGATCATCCTGAAAGGGAAGGACTAAGGTTGTTTAGTCGGAAGTATCCTTGGGTGTTGTGTTGTCCTTACTTACACCTCAACAGGTGTCCTCCTCTTCAACAAGTCATCCGCCTCTGCTAGAGCAGGGCTTCTTAAGCTTTTTCCACTCGTGCGTGGCGTTCATTGGTGTTGCGTGGCCTGAGGGCGTGCACCGGGCAGAGTGTGCACTCTTTGTGTTCTGAACCAAGGCTGCAGTGAAGTTGAACAATGCAACACAGGCAAGCACTGTTAGAAACACATCGCATTCATTCCATGTTTTATTTTGAATTAATATTTGGTCGTTGCGCATTCAGAAACTTTTTACTGTTGACAAATTTTATGGGGTTGCAACCCACAGTTTAAGAAGCACTGCTCTAGACAATTCCAGTTAGGGGAAATCAACTACCTGCTAAATTGGGTAGTTCTAATTATTAAAAATGTTGTCTTTATATATACTAAGCCTAAATTTGCCTTTCCAGAATTTCTACCCAGTGTTCTACCATCTGTGCCTTGGAACAAATCTAATCTCTCTTCCAGAGAACTTCCATTCCAGCACTTGATAACAGCTATCATTCATACTCCTCCTTAACCTTTTCCAAAATAAATGTCCCCAATTCTTTCAAGCAATTCTTATGTGGCACGATTCCAAGTCCTATCGCCATTTTAATTGCCCCCCTGAACAATGTTCAAGTTTTAACTGTTCTCCTACTGATGACACTGAGTCCTAGCTCTGACTTCTGTTAGTTATGTCACTGTTTGTAAGATGACGAAGTTCTTTAAACCCATTTTCCAGTTTTTAGGATAAGGATGATATATGCACTATCTGGCCTATAAGGTTATTCTGAAGAGAGGACTTTGTAAACTGTAAAAATGCAATCTAAAAATGTTATTATTAATAGCATCAATAACAAATCTGCATAAATGCAGACTATCACACTGTCATATAGAAGCTTCCCAATATAAAAGGGCCCAGAAACGGCTTCATCCAGCAGATACTTTATTTTCCTTTCTAAGCAGAGAAACATGACAGCCAAGACATAAGGTGAACCAATTTGGAAAACACTGAAACTTTTTTTTAACATAACTCAAAAGAAGATGCTGAATGATTAGAAAACACCCAGAATAGTATAATTACCACCCCATCTCACCCCCAGCCAATGACTATCAGTTAGAAATTAATAACTACAGATGTCTACTTTCTCATCTTTTAAGAAAAATCTTGGTGAGATATTATTTTCACCTTTTTTGGTGGTTTTTTTTTTCCTTTTGAAAACTATAATACAATATGACTAATATATACACATATAACCTAAAGCAAATTGCTTACTGTCTTAGGGGAGAGGGAGGGAGAAAACTTGGAACTAAAAATTTTGTAAAAAATGAATGTTAAAAATTGTCTTTACACATAATTGGAAAAAATACAATACTATTTTAAGAAAAGGGGGAAAAATCTTGATGAGAATGAAGTACACATTTCAAAGGGCATCCTTGAAGAAAATATGTGAAGGAAAGAGGCAGATTTTCACAAATAATTTCCCATAAGAAGACCGCATCACTTATTGACAAAAAAGCAGCTGCAAAAACTTACTCTGTTTATTGTTGGTTGGTTAATTTAAGTACTTGTCTTGGTGAAATAAATTCAGGCTGTCTTTCCAACAAGGCATTTCCTCTGCATATATTAAAGTCGCACAATGGTTTGGGTTAGATACAGCCACAGAAATAACTTTGTCCTCTGATCTTGTCAACATCAAATGAGGCATAAAAATAGAGAGGCATCCACCAAAGGTTTCCACCAGTGTACAATAGAATTTAACCTCCCTGAGTGTGGACATTGTTTCATCCTGTATATTGATATCTCTAGCACTTATCGGTGCCAGTAGGAACTTATAAATGCTTGTCGGCTAGTTGATTCTCATGTAATATATCTTCCAAATGGATGAGAAGTGGGATGTTCCTTATATTAATAGTAGTTGTTATTTTCAGTGAGATCTGTGACTATTACAAAGGCCTAAAAATCTATACCAAATGGATACAGAATTTCTCTTATTTAGACTATAACTTTTAGTCAGTCAATCAGCATTTATTAAGCACCTGCCGTGTGCCAGCCATTGTGGTAAGTGCTAGGGATGCAGAAATTGGGGGGGGGGGCAAGGAGAGACAGTCCTTGCCCTTAAGAAGCCTACAGTCTAATGGGGGAAAACAACACTTGATAGAAAGCTGAAAATTGGCCGGGGTGGGGTGGAGATAGGCAGAAAGAGAAAGTGCCTATGGGAGCATGGTGAAATACATCAAACAAGTCCCATAGGGCAGCCAGGGAGAAATGAGACATGTCTGGGCTGGGCATCCTCCTTCAGTGAAGGTTTGGAGTTCATTCCCCTATCTTCCAATCAGAGAGGGTAGTAATTAGGGTATTTAGGTGGAAAGCCCAGAGTTAGTCGAGCTTGGTTAGCCCATGCAGGTGGAATGCAGCTTCGAATAGGAGGAAGAGAATGAGCTAATTGGGAAACTGTAGAACATGATACCTACCTACTTCCTTGCACAAAAAAAATCCATTTTTTTAGCACTAATATTCTTCCCATGCTGCTATCTGACTTCAAATTACTAAATGCTACAATCTCTAAAGAAATCAGATTTGTGGGTGACCCAGAGGTCAATGGAGAGGCATATGAAAGATATATTACCAATGATTACTTGATAAAAGATATTATCCAGAAACAGATATTAAGTACTTAGTATGTGCTAGGCACTGTGGCACCATAAAGTCAAGTCAGATCTTGTGATATCTCTAGCAGTGGCCTTTTGAAAGTAAGACTACTGTAGGTAACTAACAATGAGATCCAAGTTTATTCCTAATTATGCTTATAATATATGTGTGTGGGGGTAATATGTGTATATGCATATAAACACATGCATACGTATGTGCTTTTTAGCAACTAAATAGATGTATTTTTTCCTTCCAGACGCGCACCCACAGCCACCTTCCATGATAGTAAGCATAATATTGTTCATGTACATTTTGATGCAACCAGAGGATGGTTATTGACTTGTGGAACAGACAAAGTTATTAAGGTAAGAGATCATCTTGGGTCAGTGTATTTTTTATGTTAAAATTTTCCCTCTTTCTTTTTGATGTAATATGGTAGACTTTTAGCAGCATCTGCAATTCATGGGACGGGTTGCAGATGATCAACATTATTCCCACGTACTTTGCATAGGCAGTGGTAATGAGCGTTAGGGATTTTAAGGCAATCTTTTCCCTCCAGGAATTTACATTTTGGTTGGGGAGATAGAATACACATATAACAAAGTACACAATTGTATGTGGCTCCATAAAGGGTGGATGCTCCATCTGCAATGGGTGGAGCATTGGCTGTGGAGCGGGGAAGACCTGGGTCCTGCTTCTGATACATACTGGCTGGGTTACCTTGAGCAGATCACTTAACCTCTCCATGTTCTAGGCAGGAAGTGTCAAGCTCTGACTCCCCGAAACTCCTGAGTGGCCCCGAACCAGATTTAAAATGTAATTGGGAAATATTTCTCAAAATAAATAAAAATACAGTACAGCATAGATAATGTTAATCTGTGGTTTTTTTCTGTCAGTATGTGCCCAGTATCTGTTTGACTTTGACACCACTGCTAAGCACTGTCACAGAGAAAAAGTTTCAGAGGAGGCGTCAACCTGTTTTGGTAGAAAGGAATCTCCTGATGAGGAGTTCCTTAGCCAGTGAAATCACAGGTCCAGTCTCTAGTTCTTGGTAGCGTTCATCAAATATATAAAAAATAAATGTCATAATGAGTCTGTGTAGCATCGTGGGTAGAAGGCTAGACCCATCAGGAAGACCTGGGTGTAAGTCCCACCCTGTCACATACAGACTTGGCCCACTGGGTCAGGTCACCTCATTTCCTCCAGCAGCTCTCAAAGATTGAGTGGCAGAGTAGGTATTAATTTGTGTTGGTTGAAGAATTTCCTCACCAGAGGCCTCCCTAAGTGGATGAAATCACAGACATAGTCCACAGTAAGTACTCTTAACGTTTTAATGGGAGGTAAAATCATTGTGGGTTGGCATGCTTGTGATTAAGATCATAGATAAAATCTTTCCTACAGAAATATCTTCTGATGGAGTGAAGAGGGGGTAGCTATTGGGGTGAGGAAGAACTTATTTAGAAATTAAGGCAATATAAAAACAATAGATATTAATTTAGAACTCTTGGAGAGGTGGGTGAAGTGGATGTGGGAGAGTGAGGGGAGAAGATAAGGTAACAGGGATAGGGTAAAAAGAGACTGAGAAAGAAATATCTTCTGTTCATATGGCAAAATGGAATAACTTAGTACTCAATGGGTCAGTTTTTCCACTCTTCTAATAGTTAAATACAGTGGATGAATTGGCTAAAAATGATACTGTGTCCCACCCACCCTTCTTCTACCACTTCTGATCACCAATATATAATATATTTTAGTGAATTCTAAAATTGAGGCATGAAGCAAATGAAGGAAAAACATAAAAAGTGGTTTGTAAAAGAAGATATTAAATTACTAAACTAGAAATGATTGGCAGGAAGCTCTGTTTAGTTATTTAGATAGTAAATGGGTAAATTTGATTCTCTGGAAAAAATGGGAATTCACCATTTCTTGATGGGTACAGTAATAAATAAAATCCCTCTTTACAGTGAAAGCAATCATTCAATCAAAAAGCTAGTGTCTTCCTTGAGAATCAAAAAATGCCCCAAGCGGCTGTGGATAACAGCATTGGAGAATCCTTGAAGTGGGCCCTAAGCCCCCACTTTTGGTCATGTTCTCTTCCTGGGCCAAACTGGTTGTGGGAGAAAACAAATCCTTTTCCTTATCCTTATTTGATTAAGAATTATATTTTTGTAGTTTGATTTAGCTCTTAAATGAAAAGGCTCAGAGGAAGCATTGGATTTAGAACTACATAAGAACATAGAGATTATCCCTCCTTTTATAGGTACAGGAACTGAGCTCAGAACAATGAAATGACTTGCCTAAGGACGTGCAGCCAGTACATTATAGTCAGGATTCAAACCCAGATCCCCTTATTGCAAGTGCCCTGTTCTTTCCAATTCATCTTGCTGCTTTTTTTTTTTTGGTTGGGGGGGAGGTACGGAATCAACTCTTATTATTCAGGTATGAATGTAACTCACTGATACATTAACGTAAAAAACAATATTATAAAGCACTTAGCACAGTGCCTGGTGCATAGTAAGTACTACATAAATGTTAGCTATTCTTACTGTTACCTAAATACATCACAATATAACATGATCCATTAACACTGATATAAAATATTAGAAATAACTCAATAAAATTGCAGTTCATCACCTGAGATCTTTTTCTTCTTTTTTTTTTTTCCAACAGTTGTGGGATATGACGCCGGTGGTATCTTGATGACGTCTTCCAGAACCCAAAAGACGGTATTTCCGGAAGCAACAGTCGTTCCAACCTGAATCACTGAGGAAGAGCGAAGTAAAGCTGAGTGTGCTGGGCAGGAAGGGAGGGACTCCAGAATCTGAGTTCATTTTTAAGTCGTCTGCCAGTGCAGGGCAAACGCTGGCAAGGAGACTCTTATTTCAACTTACTCACACAATAGAAAAATATTTTTTTAAGCAAATGATTTGTACAGTCCAGCCGTGCTGCAGTGTTTTGAGTTTGTCTGGAAAAAAAAATCTGTGTGGGATGGCTGTTTAGTTTTTTATATTTCCACAGTTCCTTATTCTTACTGCTTTGTTTGTACTGGGGAAGTGAGGGAGATTTCTTTTGAGGGGGATGGGAGTGGGCTAAATGGTTCCTCCCGCTCCCCACCTTAGGATGTATTCTACCACAGGCTCGGCATCCCTTTGACCTCCCACTCATCACAAATCCGCTCTCCAGAAAGAATGTACTGAAGCTATTTATTGTTGATGTTTCTGGGTTCATCTCCAATTCAGTGGAGACATCTGTGACAACTGACCGACTTCTCGAACGAGCTGAGCAGCAGTGCCTGACTCCATCCAGTCTTTAGCTAACAAATCAACTTCTCTAGTTTCCTGGACCACAGAAGGAAAATGGAGTTTTGCCTGCCTTCCCCCTGCTTCTCCTAAAAATAGTGGTTAAGCTGCCCCACAGCCACCTAAAAGATGTCCAAGAAGTTGGATGATTACAGTTGAGAGCACCTCCCGTTTGTCTCTGTATTAATCTGAACTCAGCTGTAAGCACACAAGCTATTTTAAATGAAATTTTAGTGACAGGCCTCTCTCAGGTTTCACCAAGCCACATGTTATAAAACCAATTGTCTCTTAGTTATGTGTTACTTCTGAACTTAAATGTGTTCATTTGTATAAAATTTTGATTGGATCTCTTCTTTTTTCTTCCCTACTCAAACTATGCATTAAGAAAAAAAAATAGATCATGGAATTGATCCAGGCACCCTGTATACTTAAATGTTCTGTCCCTTGAGACACTTGGCATTGTGTAATTCTGCATTCTCATGCTATTTTCCTTTTGGGCAAAACTTGAACTTTTTAAATGAAATGTAAAATAATGCTTTTTTGAAGTGAACCAAAATGGCCTGTTATCACGTTGGGTTTTTTTTAACTTCTTTCATTTTGAACCCTAAAAGAAATGGAATGAAACCCAGCCGGGGAAAATTGCTAGCTCTTCTAGATGTGAAAAGGAGAACCAATCCCTTTCCCTCCTATAGAACTTAGAAAATTTGCTCATTTCTTATCTAGAAAATTTACTTTTTTGTTCTCTTTTATGGAGAACCTTATTTCCACTGTACTGAAAAACCTTATTACCACTGTACCTGGTACATATCTGAGTTTAGGTACTTTTTTCAAAGGATAGATTGAGGGAGGGAGGGGGATGGAAAGCATCCCTTTTAATTTCCTCCTTTCTGTAAAGCAGGAAGCTTTGGTACTACAGACTTATTTTTATCATTTATTTTTTCCCTCTTCTTGGTTTTCTGGCATGGCTGATGGTCAGCGCCAGACCAGAAAACCAGGCCCTCATGATGGCAAGCTCTGCTTCCTGGTTCTGTGACCTCGTCAATAACTTGGTGGTGGTTATGACTGCCCAAGAGGCCTTGGGGAAAAGAACACTGTGCATTGCCTTATTAAATTGAACATTTATGCTTGTGAACAAGAAATTTTAACAAAGCATGGGGAGAGAAATATCCCCATGTTACTGTAACTCACCCCTGTACCCCCAAAAGTGTACATAAAACAAAATACCCTAAGGAATATAACCACTTACCACTTTTTTTTGCCTCCACGAAATCCTCCCCCTGCTATCAATAGCTGCTATAATCACTGTTTTGAATGTCTTCTGCATGTCTGTCTGTCTCATTTGAGAGCTTTTAAAAAGAACCAGATGATCTGATTTTTAAAATATTCGAATGTCTATAGTGTATATATGAATAGAAGGCTTCCCGCTCCATTTTGCCTTCTTCCTCTTTGCATTCTGGCCAGTACAAGAAAAGGGAAATCTAGTATTAAGGAACTGATGGGACAGGTACCCATGGGGTCTTATGCACACATTATCCAGATGAGCCAAAATCTCATTGGACAAATACTTGCACTCCTATAGGATCACACATGATTCTTTTAGCTTACTGGCATTTGACTTAAATGTGATTTCTCAGCATGGATGTCTATATTCAAAAGCTTTTACAAGTCTTTCCAGCACCATATTCCTATCCAAGCCCAAAGATTTTCTCATAGTTTAAAGTCAGTCAAGGTAATCTCAAGTTTCGTCAGTAGTATAAGTTTTGCTTAGAAAAAAGAAAAAATACTGTGATGTTTCTAAACGTTCATTAATTTGCTTCTTCCTTCTCTTGTTTGAGTGTCCTTGAGGTCATCTGGATTCAGCACATGGTTTGGCCACATGAAGTGGTTATCTTGGAAACTCTATGAATGTATTCATTTTTAACTTGTGTTTCTATACCAGGAGTGGGGAACCTGTGGCCTCGAGGCTACATGTGGCCCTCTAGGTCCTCAAGTGTGGCCCTTTCACTGAATCCAGTCCCCACCCCTTTTCTACATCCTTTTCCTACAGCTAGCTGAGAGATAATTCTCTGCTTGTGGGATGTCTCTCCACCAGGCACTTTCTGAAAGTGAAAGCGTCTGTCAGTCAGAATTGGAAGCTGGCAGTAGCCTGCTGCATTTCTCCGTGGAGACATTGGTTGTCTCTCTTAAGCTTCCTTTTCAACTACTGTCCATTTGGCTTGCCTTTGTACTTGACATATGTACCATTGTTGCCCGAACTGGATATTTTTTGAAAACAGGAAATTGTGATGATTTCATAGAATTTTTAGAGTGACCATCTAGTTAACTTATACCCAAAAAGGAGTCACCATTACAACGTAGAATTTTGTGATTTTTCTCCCCCATATTTGACCCAATAAGTAGCCATCTCTTTCTTTCATTTACTTCTTAGGAATTAGCATCACAAGAGGCAGCAACTTTACCCTAATGGGGAAAAAGAAATAGTTTCAGATAAAGTACGACTTAAAGCCTGGTTTTGTTTCTCTGCCTGAGCAACCAGTCTTTCTGATTGACCTTTAAATTGTCAGTCTCATTTGCCTTAATATTAATAAGTGAATCTTTGAATATCAGAACTGGAAAGGACCTTAAGAGGTCATCTGCTAAAAAGCCCCACCCTTAAGCAGAGCTACATCTCAGTCTTGTTGGACAGATCGATGGTGATCAATAGTGATGATGACATTCTTTGGCCAAGGTAGTGGAGCCTTGGGAGAAGGGGAGGGGAGGAGGGGAATACTATAAGACATCTCTGGAGGAACTGTTGATTTCTGGAAACTTACTTTAGGAGACTATGAGTATCACCTGGTATAACAATACAGGCCTGGTCTCTGGAGTGATTTGGAGGCCTCCAGCCAGGCCACTGGTAGGTGAGAAGCATCCTACCACTGGGTCCTGAGTTCTTTTCTACAAAGTATGCTTTCTGTCACCAACTCTGGTCATGAGCCAGCAGGTTGGTGAGTATGTCATAATAGGGCATTTGTTGCAGGTCTGCATATGCCCTTTTCAGGTGCCCACAAGTATACAGTGTATTGTTTTTCTGAGGATTGCCTGTGAAGGAACCATTTTGGTGGGCTCTTCTTGGTAGATGGCTTCCCTACCCAATTAGCACCCTCATTCTTTTGAAGCTTCATTTAAAAAAAATTTTTTTTCCTAGTGCTCAGTTTGTGGATTGAGCCCTAATTTTGTCTAAGAGAAGAGCCATTGCAAATGAAAGTAATTAGACATCAGTGTTCAGCGGATGAGATTGCCCAATTTGCGATCACATTGAAGGATCTTAAGTGCTAGGGAGAAGACTGAACCTGTGATTCCACTGGTATAGGGAATTTGTGGGTTCCTCTACCAATGCAGGTTAGCACCTTCACTGTACAACTTAATAGACTTGGAAACTTGCCTAGAGCATTTGAAAGGTAAAGTGATTTACCCAAGGTCATACAGCTGCCAAGAGTCAGGGGCAGGACCTGAAGCCTGGTCTCCCTGACTCTGAGGTCAGCTGTCTGTCCACTGTCACAGTCGCCTCTTAATTGTACATAAATGATCTTGTCACCAAGGTTTACATCTTAAAGTCCTGGATATTAAAAGTCTTTCTTCTGACAGTTTACATTTTTCATGCAGACCTAAGAAATTCTTCATTTTTGTCTCCTTTAAGATAGTTTAAGCTGTACTCTGTGTGTGTGTGTGTGTGTGTGTGTACATGTGTTCTTTTAAGGTACAAAAGTAAGCAACGATTCAGCAATGTGAATGGAGGAGACAAGAATAAAATTAACTCTTAAAACTGATTTGTCGGGGCAGTGAGGTGGCGCAGTGGATAGAGCACCGGCCTTGAAGTCAGGAGGACCTGAGTTCAAATCCGGCCTCAGACACATAACACTTACTAGCTGTGTGACCCTGGGCAAGTCACTTAACCCCATTGCGTAGCAAAAAAAAAAAAGTTTAAAAAAACTGATTTGTCCATTTAATTAATTACAGTCTTATGTGATATGAATTGCCAAAATTATATAGGATGTCCCAAAGGTCTTTTGTGCATTTTAAGCTTTTAAAGGTTAAAACTGCCCTAAGACTTTTGTGTCTTCCTGGAACACTATACATTTTTTGCTATTAGAACACTTATCTTTAGGGGATTAAGAACATAAGGAGAAACATCATTCCCAGTATTCTGTGCTTTGAAAGAGGTCGTTTAGCTGATTGTGCATATCATTCCAGTTGAAACACTCTCCTCTTCTCATCTCAAGGCTTCCTTTCATTTATAAATGCCTGAAATTATTAGCTTGAAATGGCCCCTAATTTCATCAACTTGTCATTTGATAAGTATTGGGTATTCTCAGGGTACCTAGCCCAATGGTTGGTGCCATGCGATGGCTATAGAACACTACCTTCTACCTGTATTTGTCCTTGAGGAATTTACCTATTAAATTCAAATTGGCTGTTAGGACCTGGCTGCCACTCCCTCCTTCATCCCGAGAGCAGGGAGAGCAGCCTCAGGACACCACCAGCTGTTTGTGTTCTAAGACCTTTGGGAGAGTTAAGGATGCAAGCTTGCTGTAGAGACAACAGGAGAGTGTTGCTCTGTACAATCCAATCCTGTGAAACTTCACTCAGCCTTAAGCTAACTTCTTACTACCTGCTGTGTCCACCACAGCTAAGTCCTCTGGTACGGAAGTAGGCAGCTGAAGTTCTCCATCCTTACAGGTTTTTCAGAGGGAGAATTAGATGAACCCTGACTGGAATTACACATGTCCAGGAGAATTAGAGTACTTTTTTTCCCTAAAGAGATAACAGAGCTTAGTTTGACCATTGGAATATTTGGCCCTTCAGGGCTTCCAAAATGCCATTTTTCCCCTTTATTATCAATACAGTCACCATTCCATTTCTGCTATAGGCTAGTTTTGCCTTCTCTTTCCAATGCCTGAAGTATTTTATGATTATATAGTATAAAATCATCTTCATTTTTAAACCTCGTCTCAGCCTTGCGGATAAGAACTCAAAACTTAACAAACCATACAGTTTTTAATATCACTGTTTCTACCACTGACATCTACAATTAGCAAAATTAGTACAATTCCATATTCATCATTGGGCTTTATCATAAGCCAGCCACTATCAGTACTAGGCAAGTGATTATCTGCAAGGCTTGGTTAAGCCAGATACATGAGACAAGACCACCCCTCCTTAGTTTCCTCAAATTCTGAGAAAGCACAGTCTGTATTTTTTATCTAGAGCTACATGGATATTTTGTTAGGAAAAAAGGATGGTGGCTAATCACTGTACAATTTCCTAAAGAGACGTTTCAAATATTCATTCTTGCGAATCTCCCTCATCACCTTCCGCCTCATCTCATAACTTTTTGTGTCTCTTCTCTTCTTCCCTCCACCCCCCATTAGATAAGCTCCTTGAGTTCGGGGACACTCTGGTGTGTCTCATCAATTGAATTCGGTTTCTGTGGCCCCAGCACTTAGCACAGCGCCTTGTACGTCGGAGACAACAAATGTTTGTTGAATTGGCTCAGCAATCATAAGTGAATCAAACTCATGTAGGAAAAAGTCATTGAAATTGCGTGCTCATTTGATGATCAGATCAGAAACAAGGAGGCGTATAGGACTCAGATCAGGCCTTGACACTTGGACCTTTTTGTCCTTCTCTAATTAATGGAGAGGGAAGACAGTTGCTAATATAAAGGGGGAAATGGTTTATTATCATATCTTTTGTTATTAAATGATAAAAGCACTTTCAGCACTAGAATATGCCAACATAATGTATGGACCAAAACACTTGTTTCTTTTAACCGTTACATATCTTCAGTTGTGTTTTATGTTATTGCTATTACATGTTTAAGGTTATGTTTTTCAATGTGTCGTCATTTTGTGAAAGAAAACTGTTATCTTAGGAGTTCCAAACTTAATATATACTGTACAACTTGGAAAGTACTTGGCCAAGTGGAAGGTGGTTCTAGGGCCTGCTTCTGACTTGCTATAGTCAAGAACATGGCTCCTGCCCTTCTATATTACCCCATCAGCCTCTTTGGGACAGATCTTTATTTGGTTACAATAACCCTATTTTATACATTTATTTGGGTTCTTTTAAAATGAGGAAGTTCTCTGTGAATTTTAGGGTGAAGATGTACTAAACACGAAAGTTGGAGTGAATCTCTTGAATGCTGGTCTATTTTTAAATCCTCTACCCTTTGCTCTGGATATGAGAACCAAATACTGTTAAGTCCTCAGTAACCAGATCTTGCCACCTGCTTCAAGACAGCCATCTCAACATTATCTTGAGGAAATCCCACAATGTAATAAAGATTAAAGTTTCTTCAGTTAAATAATACATATCTAATATGATAAAATGCTGCGGAATGGCGTGGTTGTTTTCCTTCCCCTCCCTTTTCCTCTGTCCTCTTCCATGTAACTGAAATGTATGTTTGTTCATTCAATGATGTAATGGAGTCATTGAAAAGCTGCCTCCATGGTTCTAAAATAAACCTTTATGAAATCTTCCTTTACTCTTAGCCCTGTACTTACATTGTGGTTGAAGTCATAATTTATGAGTGTGGGCAACACCATGAAACACTTTGGTGGTGTTCCCGATTACTCTTTAGAATATGGTGCTTTCAGGGCAGCTAGGTGGCGCAGTGGATAGAGCACCAGCCCTGAAGTCGGGAGGATCTGAGTTCAAATCCTGCCTCAGACCAAACACTTGACACTTACTAGCTGTGTGACCCTGGGCAAGTCACTTAACCCTGATTGCCTAAAAGCAAAAAGAAAAAAAGAAAAAAAAGAAAATGGTGTTTTCAGAGATTCCACCATGGCTGAGGTTATACGACTGAGGTGAGATTGAAGCAGGTCAATAGAGCCCTGTAAGGAGGAGGTTCCAGAGGCCAAGATGAGGTGTTCTTTCTCCATACTAACAATCCAAAGAGATGAGATCATGACAGATATGTTCTTTCTCTTTTCTTTATTTATTGGCTCTTAACTGCTAGACCATAGCAAAGAGAATTGGCATCAAAAACCATGTTTGAATACTGACTGTGAGCTTAGGCTCTGGATATCAGTTTTTTCCTCTGAAACTAAGGTCCATAAGCTAGCTCTCTGGGGTTCATTCCTATGAACAGATGTCTGAGGATCTGCTGAGCAAGCATACAGAAGTTCTGATACTAATGCAGGCATGAAGTGCCTGGCACATAAGTACCCACTTAAATGCTTATTTCTTCCCTCTAACCCCTGAAATTTTGTATATTCTATGGGGACAGTTAATGCACTGAGACATTATCACAGACTCTCAGAGCTAGAAGTTAACTGAAAGGTCATTTAGTCCAAATCTTTTTGTTTGTTTGTTTTTTGAGGTAATCAGGATTAAGTGACTTGCTCAGGGTCACACAGCTGGTGTCCGAGGCTACATTTGAACTCATATTCCTAACTCCACGGTCAGTGCTGTATCCACCATGCCACCTGGTTACCCTCAAATCATTTTTTAAAGCACAAATCCCATCTAACGTTTCTGGAAAGTGGTCATCCTGTCCCTGCTTGAATACTTGTTGGGAAGCTCACTAGTTCACAAGGTGACTTAGGGATAGAAAGCCGGCCATGAATCCCAGAATACCTGGATTCCAGCCCTGCCTCTGACATAGAGGCTGTGTAACCCTGAGTAAGCCAGTTAACCTTTGAGGGCTCTAAGTATCCCTGGCTTCAGCACTCAGCTCAAAGCCCACATTCTTCAGAAGACCTACCCTGGTCCCCCGGGATGTCTCCCCTTTCAGAGCTTCCTCCATCCACTCTGTATGTCTTGTCTGGGCCAAGTTATTTACATGTTGTTTCACCCATTAGAATCATGCTCCTTGAAGGCAGACTTTTTTTTTCTGTTTGTTTTGCCTTTCTTTGTATCCAAAGTGCATAGAACAGTGCTTGGTACATGGTATAAGTACTTAATGCACATTTACTGACTAGGCAACCTCCATAATACCAAGTTGCAAAGGAGCTGCCAGCCTTTTAAAGGCCGTTTCCCCACCTGGGAGTTCTCTATGTTATTAATATTAATTAAATTATTTTATTAATATTAATGAAAACACAAGTCTGGCTCCTATCCCTAGATTGAGCTGAAATTTACCTCCCTGCATCTTGTAGGCATGGCTCCTAGTTCTGTCCTCGAGGCCCAAGGAGGGCAGGGTTTCCCTCTTCCATAGAAACAATCACTTGATTTTTATACTTTCTCCTTTTGTTCTTTAATTGTTTTTTTTTCTAACTGCTTTTCATATGTGACCTTTGTCTCCATATTATAACCTTCTAAAAGGGGCTGGGAGTGGCCACTGTTTTTCACTTTGGACACTTTGGACGCGGGGTAGGGCACATGGCTGCTTGCTCAATAGAGACTTGCTGATGGATCCAGTTGTAGCAAGTTTCAAGTCTCTAGCCACAACTGCTTCAGAGGAGATGTAGAGCTCATGAGGGAGGGGAGGGCAACTCCCAATATTGATGTGGAAAGTCACAGAAAGGAGAGTGGTTGGCTCATGATCTTCAAAAGAATGGAAGGACAAAGGGCAGCTAGGTGGCACAGTGGACAGAGTACCGGTCCTGGATTCAGGAGGACCTGAATTCAAATCCGGCCTCAGATACATCATACTCACTAGCTGTGTGACTCTGGGCAAGTCACTTAACCCCAATTGCCTCATCATAAAAAAAAAAGTGGAAGGATAGACAGACACAATGATGTAAATGAGGGGGTACAACCATGGTTAGAATTCACTCCAGAGCTACTAAAGTTCTGTCTTTTCAAGGGCAACCAAAAGATTAGGCTGCTTAAATGCCAACCTCTGGCTCACTTCCTGCCTAGTCCTAGCAGCAGCCCTCACCCATACACTTGAATAAAGCAAG